GTGATCTGAGTCTGGCTTAGGTTGCTCCTTGCCGTGAGGAGACTTACCCATCTTGGACTTCCGACCATGCCTTGGGGGCAGGAAGGAAACTGAAGCAGCGTTTGCTACCAGAGACAAGCTTTGTCTCCTGTGGCTTGTATTCCGGAGGTTGCTCATTCATCCTTAGCCTTGGGGGTAGAGTTACAATTCCTGAAACCAGGCAGAGCAGTCTACAGCACCCATCCCCCAGCCCTCCCCACTTCTCTCCCATTTCTATCACTCCCCCCTTGTTATTGTCCACGTGTCCTTTATAATTGTTCCCGAAAACCCTTCACCTTTTCCCCTGAAATTCCCTCCCCTCTCCCCTCCAGTTACTGTCAGCCTGTTCTCTATTTCAGTGTCTTTAGTTATATTTTGCTTGTTTGTTTGTTTTGTTGATTAGGTTCCTGTTAAAAGTGAGATCATATGGTATTTATCTTTTACCACCTGGCTTATTTTGCTTAGCGTAATGCTTTCCAGTTCCACCTATGCTGTCACAAAGTAAGAGCTCTTTCTTTCTGCTGCATAGAATTCCATTGTGTAAATGTACCATAGTTTTTTGATCCATTCATTTACTGATGGGCACCTAGGTTGCTTCCAGCACTTGGCTATTGTAAATTGTGCTGCTGTGAATATTGGGGTGCACACTGCATAATTTCTGAGGCTAGGCCATAACATATGAAACAGCCTCTTCCTTGCTCACTGCAACACTTGCCTTTGGAGCCATGAGTGCCATGTAAAGATTCTAACTATCCCAATGTTGCCATGCTGTGAAGAAGCCCAGGCTACATGGAGAGAACACACATAAGTGTTCTGGCCAGCAACCCCAGTATAGATTCATCTGGCAGCGAGCATCAACTGTCAGACATATGACAGAAGATGCCTCCAGATGATTTCAACTCTCAGCAGTTAAATCACTCTCAGTCCTAAAGTTTTCCAAGCTGACATCACTGAGTAAAAATAAGCTGTCCTGTATCCTTTTTGAATTTCTGACATGGTAATCCATGAGCATGCTAAATTGGTTGTTTTACCCCACTGCATTTTGGGGTGGTATGTTAGGCAGCAATAGTAACTAGAATAGTGTGTGTGTATACATATGAGGTCTGTCTAGAAGGTATCCAGCCATGTAATATGAAAAATAAAGACATTTACTAAAGAAGACACAAGATGCAAGAAACAGTGTACATAGGACAATGACATCTCAGTCTCCCTCAAAGTAGGCACCTTGAGACCTCACACAGACCCCCCATTCAGCTGCCTTGTTATATTTTCCTGAACCTCATTGATGGTCTGAAATCTTCTCTCTTTCAAAGGTGAATTTAGTTTTGGGAAAAGTCAGAAGATGCAGGGTACCACATCTGGGCTGTGGGGGGTTAGTCACCTGGGTGATTTGATGTTTCATGAAAAGACTCTGCACAAGATGTAATGTATGAGAGGGTACGTAGCAGTGATGAAGTTGCCAATCACCAGTTGCCCATACCTGCATTCTTCCGGCTGATCTGAATAGTTTCTGTGGAAGTATGTTCAAGTTTAATGCAAAATTTGATGCAGATTCATTGCATTACTCACTCAGTCATTTTGATTGTGATGCTACACAATACGCATGCGCTCTCAACAGTGTCTTCTGCCCCTGTGGACCAGTACAGTGAAGTCATCAATGTTTATGCATGTGCATTCCAGTCCACTCTCCTTGGTTTTCAGTAAACCGTTTTCATTATGTTAACGATGGATGCACTTTTTCCAGACACACCTCGTATATACATATATATTCATATATTTTCTAGCTTTGTGTGCTGAGAAGGCCTAGAAACAATGGCATCTTGGAAATACTGAGGAAATCTGGCATCCATATCTTGGTTTCAAATACCATTCACTGTTAAAGGAAGCCAGAGCCACTTAAAGAAATGGCTGATTCCTAAGCTGAGGCAGGAAAAGTAAAAATGGAATCTGAATTATCTCTTGTACCAGAAAGTAAGGAAGTGCTTAAAAAATGTTGAGGACATAGGAACTAGCCTGAAGGGCATTCCCATTTGCAAAATTGGGCATAATTTAGACATCCAAAATAATAATGATAGTAACTGATAATAATTTATTGAATAAAATAAAAATTTATTGGTCCAGCCCTGGCTGGTATGGCTCAGTGGTCTGAGTGTGGGCCTTGCAAACGGGCATTGCTGGTTTGATTTCCAGTTGGGGCACATGCCTGGGGTGCGGGGTCTCGAGTGGGGGGCACGCAACAGGCAGCCACAAGTTGATATTTCTACCCTTCTCTTCCTTCCCCTCTCTCTAAAAATAAATACAATCTTAAAAAAGAAATTTAGTAGTCCAGAAAATCTAAATAAATATGGTAATAAATATGTAATCCATTTACACTTCATTGAGTAAAATAAGAATCCATGAGTCCATAGTATATAAATAAATGAATAAATGGAAGAACAGAAATGCTTTCTCTTACACTGTAGGTCAGCTAAAAACTGAAGAAGAAATGATGAATTTTTTTAAATCGCCATTTAACAAACATCATCATGGTGGTTATTCCAATGGGGGTCATAGACAAATTAAAAGGTAGATAAGTGGAGATTTGATAAGGTATCAGACTCCTAGGAATTACAAAGAGACAAGTAGTGGCTTTATGAGGGAGAAACCTGATAGACTGGGCTGGCAGTACCAGGAGTTCGAGGGGCTCACCTTTTGATGTGATGCACTGAGAAAGGCACGCATCATTTCTCTTTTGCCCTTGCATGTATTTAGGTTTGAGGGACATCTAACAGTAATGAAAGACCTGTACTCTTTAAAAGGGATTCATTAAGTCCTGGCTGGTGTAGCTCAGTTGGTAGGGCATAATTCCACAAAGTGAAAGGTCGCCGGTTTGATCCCCAGTCAGGGCACATGACTGGGTTGCAGGTTTGGTCCACACGTGTGAGAAGCAACTGATTGATGTTTCTCTCTTACATTGATGTTCTCTCCCTCTCTTTCTCCCTCCCCTCCCCTCTCTAAAAGTGAATAAAATCTAAAACAAAAACAAAAACCCCAAAACAAAAAAAACAAAAAAAAACAAAACTGAAAAAGTAACTGTTTAAAAAAAAGAAAATTTTGTTTAGTGTTGTGCTGCTGAAACTTAATAGTTTTAGCTTCTAAAAATACTTAGTCCTTTTATGATCAAGGAAAGGGTATTTTTTTGTTTTTCTGCATTTGATTGTTGTATAAATCTGCATAGTGACCTAACATGGTTTATTTTTTCAATCAAATGTACATCAATTTCAGATTTCCCCCAGAACTCTATTGTTTCATTTATTAAATGCTACAACAACGTACTTTTTGGTTTGCTTAATAAATGATAAGCAAGGCCTTTTGTTCAATAGATTTTTATACAGATTATTACATAAACTGAACTAAAAGATAATAAAAAGTTAAAGTTAAAAAAAGAACAAAAATTCAATAGAGTAAATGTAAAGATCTAATTGGCTTTATTCAATGAATAAATTTATTCATGAATCAGGCAGCATCCCATCTAGTAAACAGATACCCCCCAGGAACTAGACAAATATAAGGCTTTTATAAGCAGAAATAGGGGGAAAGGGGAATAACGAAGTTAAAAGAGTAGATTATTTCAGGCAAGGTCATCTTTTCTTAGGGGAAAGAATGGGGTCTCATCAGGCAGATTACCACCTTACTGGTAACTAGGAAGGTACCACTAGTAAGGTACCACTGGTAAGGTACCACCTTAGTGTGACTAGGAAACTCCAGACTGATTCATTTAAAATTCCACTCCGGGGAGAGGCTGAAACTGCAGTTAAATTAGGTATTAATTCTTGGTGGGGATTAGCAAAAGTGACTTCATTTCAGGCCTGTTTTTTTTTTTTTTAAATAAGAGCCATTTCAATATAATGGCCTCTTTGTTTAACTTAACACAACTAATAAATTATTACTTTGGACGCTGATCCCAGGTTTTTGTTTCATAATGTGAACCCCTGTGGAAACAGCAAATGATAATATGAGTTGACTCTAAAACAAAATTGTGACATCATTTGTACCGTTTTGGGTCAACAAAATCTACCCAAGTAAATAAGATCTTCCTATTAAGGTAAAAATGAAGTTTAGGTAGGAGACCCTAAAAGATCCAGGTTTGAAGTCCACTACAACATTCACACTTCCTCCAATGTCTGCGCCATCACCACCACTTATCCCAGGGACCCCAGGCTTCCATTTTTCTCACTGAACTTCATGTTGGTGCTTGGGGAACAGGGTCCAGAAAAAGCCTTCAATCCCTGTTCTAAGACAATTTTGGGGGGAATATTTCCCACCAACAACACTCAGACCAGGACCTCCCACGGAAAAAGCTCTCTCTTTCCTATTAGCCCAACTGGTAAATCCCAATCATACATTCTTGCTTTGATAAACAGTCATGGTCTTTGTTTCTCTCTCCTTCTTCCTCTCTCTCCCCCTTTTCTTTTCTTCTTCCTCCTTCTCTTTCTTTCTTTCTTTCTTTCTTTCTTTCTTTCTTTCTTTCTTTCTTTCTTTCTTTCTTTCTTTCTTTCTTTCTTTCTTTCTTTCTTTCTTCTTCTTCCTCTTCCTCTTCTTCTCCTCCTCCTCCACCTCCTCCTCCTCCTTCTTCTTCTTTTAATATTTACAAACCTCCCCTTGAACTCCTGCACCTGCTTGTTTCTACCAACCTCTTTAGGAGAGTCCCACTCCTCAACCCCAACCACCCACTGTTAATCTGGAATGGACTTTAGATCTTTGACTGACAGAGGCTCAAGGTAACAAACCAGATCATTTACATTGCATTGGATAATTATATGATTGTTCCAAAGGCCCAGAGGCTCTACTCTCCTGTTTCCCTCCCACACTCTCTCTGTTTCTCTCTCTTTCTCTCAGGAATTAGGGTCAAGCCAGGCAGGTGCAGGACTTGCAGCCACCACACCCCTTAATCCTGGCATTGCTGAGCAAGGGCTTCTATCCCAGCCTCCCTAATTCAGCTAGCTGCCAGACCATAAGTTAGGATGGCAGAGGAGGAAGGTGGTATGGACAAGGAGGATGTGTTCCTGGCTTTTGCTCAGGGTCCTACTCCTCCCAGGGGTACCCTACGTCGAGCCCTGGACAAGGCCTTCTTTATCTTCCTGGCCATTTTTCTGACACTACTGATGCTGGAGGCTCTTTATAAGCTGCTGTGTTCTCTACCGTGGACAGTGTTTGGGGACTGGCTCCTGGGAACACCTCAGAGCGAGGAGGAGTTGGAATTGTGACCACCTTTTCTGCAAACATCCTCTTACCCTGCTATGGAGGTGAGAGGGGAGATGGGGGCAAGTAAGACTGTTGGGGACTATGGAGGGCACATTTGGATAGCTTAGAGCAGCTGTCTAAAATTTCTGCACCTATACAGCAGGAAACGATTTAGAAAAAATTTGTACTCCTCACATATTTTTAAGTAAGCATATAATTTTTTTCATCATAAATTGAAATTATTTCAAGGATGTAATTCCTGGCATATTAATAGTCACATTTTAAAATAAAATAATTAAATCACCCTTTTGAATATCCAGGGGAACTGAAATATCAAAGTGACTTGATACCTACCATGATACATTAAAAAAATACATAAATGTGTTCTTAACAACTGGAAATCATTCTTTTTCTTCTTTTTCTCTTTTCTCCTTGAACTCCTCTTCCCCAAAAGCAATTTTATGCTTTTATACTTGAAGGTCTCAGATGCAAAGTATTTTTTTTTCTTGTGACCAAAACTCTAGTTTTACAAAAATTTCTTCAGGGTTATCATTACAATTATTATGACAGCAGAACTGATCAAATAGCATGAAGATTGTACACACTTTTTATAACTGTTAAAAATAAAAAATACATTTTTAATGAGTAGACAAGGTGGTGTTTATGGCACCTTGGGAAGAGAAATGGACTACATATCTATTGTTTTAAAGAATTTATTTATTTATCTTTAGAGGGGAAGGGAAGGAGAGAGGGAGAGAAATATCATTGCATGGTTGCCTCTCATGCGTCCCCTGCTGGGAACTGACCTGCAACCCAGGCTGCAGGTTGCCTCTCATGCGTGCCCTGACTGGGAATTGAACCGCGATACTCTGGTTCGCAGTCCCGCACTCAATTCACTGAGCTACATCAGCCAGGGCTAACTACATACCTATTTATTTAAGACAAGGTGAGATTATTTCCAGATTTCATGGCTGAGAACTACACTTTTTTTTTTAAGAGGGCGAAAATGTACAGTAAACGAGAAAAGGAAGAAAAAGAACCCCAACTGAAAGTATTTCCTCAGGAAGACAGAATTTGGAAAAGTTGATGATCTGGAAATTAAATCCTTTGTATCTCCCAAGTCCCAGTGCTCTTTGGAGACTTTCATTCTCCCCAATTTGAAGACGGTAGGCTTAGACGACTGGAAAGAAGTGGTGTGGAATTCTTCAAATGGAAGGGAGAGTTTGAAGTTCCGGGTCTCTGAGGGCTTGGAGGTGTGGGGATCTCTGCAGTCCTAGAAAGTGACAAGATGCTCACCAGCTGTGGAATGTGCACGGATCCAGGAGGTGGGGAATCTCAGCCACTGGAACCGCGACAGCCTTTCCACTTTCTCCACAACTCACCTTTCGAGCCTGCCTTGCCTCCACGAGTCCCTCCAGCCTCCCTATAACTGACTGAGGTGGAATGCAGGTGAGGCGGATGTCAAAGTAGGCTCTGGTCCTGTACGTAGCTCAACTGGTTGAAGCGCCACCCCCATACGCCAGGGTGAGGGTTTCATCCCCGGTCAAGACCTAGGAAGAGTCAACAAAATCTCTCTTTAAAATCAATAAATAAAAGAGACGAGGGAGAGAAAATTTCTAAGTATTTCTAAAACAAGCAAACCAAAACCAAAGTCGATTTCTTCTCTTTGTTCTTTCCTCAGCTTCCCGAAAGTTAAAAGAGACGAGACCCGAGATATTTTCCGAGGCTCATTTCGTCTTGCAGCCCTCACAACGGCAATTTGCACAGATTCTCCTCAAGGTCCCCATCACACAAGCCCAGTCCCTAGGCCCTGGCAAAGTACGGCTTCTGGGTCATCACTGGCTGTGCCTAAGTGATTCCCTCCAGAAATGGACGGAGAATCACCTAGGTTCCACCTATTTGGTTGGTCATTATTTCTGTGGTGAAGCTTGAGAAGCAAATCAACAATAGCAATAATAATAACAACACAATGTTTAGCGCCTTGATTTGTGTGCATGTGTTTTGAGTTCACGTTTGGGAGACGGTTGGGAGACGTTGTCACCATTATGTAGAAGCGGCAAAGGCGCGAGTAGCTCGTGTAAGAGAAGGGGCAGGTGCCGTCGATGAAGCGGTTGGAATCTGGAATTTGGCAGGTAGGAAAGCGGATGAGGAAAACTTGTCAACAGCCCATTGGAAGGAAAAGGTTTTATTTCCCTTATAAGTGACTCCCGCCCTTCGGTGCACCAGGCGCAGCCTCGGAGGTCCCAACTCCTGAACTGCCCGGTTACGTTGCCCCTCATCTACTAGGAAAGGTGGCTCAGTCCTTCCGGCACGCGACTCGGCGGCGGTTGGCTGGTTGAAAAGAGATTCATTGGCGGCGCCCGGGAGTCTGGGCAGTCATTGCCGTACAGCAAAATGGCGACTCCCAAGTCCTTAAGGACGCGCCGAGGGAACAAGCCCGTCCCATGCTAGGAAGGCCGCAATGGAGGCGTTCGGACATCCGGCGTACCGTCAGTTCCGGCCAGAGTGGGGACTGGGTTCCGTACAACAATATGGCCGCACTTAGGTTTCTGTAGGCGGAAACTCTGCAGCTTCCGGTCCAGAATAGGGCCTGCGGTAGGAGGGGGAAGGAAAGAGGAGGGAACCATGCGAGCTTCTGATATCCGCGATGAGGGTCGCCTCGAGAGGCTGTTTCTGAGGTGCGGGCCGGACGGTGCGGGGATCGAAGGCGGGGCGGGAATGTCAAGGGTGAGGTACTGGGGAGTCCCGGGCGCTAAGTCTGAGGGGCAAGCTGTGCTACTCTTCCCCCCTATCCCTCAAGAGGAGAGGGGCGGGCGGGGGCCGAACTGGGGGAGGGGGACTTGGCGGGAAGCTCCTTCTTGGGGAAGGGGCCGGACATAGCGCTGGGATCCGAGAGGAATCGGGAGAACCCATTGCGGGTCTCACAATCAGTTACAGGTCATAGAGAGAGAATGAGAAAAATTAGGGTGGGGTGAGAGGGAGGGGACTGGAGCTGAAACACCTCCAGTCTAACTCCGCGGTTTGAGATCCATTAGGGGTGGGATGTGGAGATAATTCAGAAAGGGTAATGTATTGTTAAGAAGGAATCTTATTCACCTCAGAGAGTCTGGGAGTTGGGGTGATCCTTCAGGATGGGGTGAGGGTGTGAATTTGACGTGTTTGAGAGCAAAAGAGGGAAACACGTGAGGTGTTACTGACGGGTGTAGTTTTAGTGCCTGTGCTGGGGATGTCATTGAAATCTGGAGTGCAGTGTGAGAAGTGGTCCAGGGGTTGAGAGAAAAAAAATCAACTTGCCAACTAGGAGAAAGATTGGGGAAACCACAAATGAAAGGCCGGATATATTATGAGGGGTGGAGCTGGTGGTGGGGATTTCAGGTTTCAGGTGCCTTGGGGGCTCCCTAGTAGGAGCCCAAAAAGACATGGTACTAATAGTTGCTGAAAATAGGCAATGAGGACACTATTGGGAAGGGCCGGGTGTTACTGAAGCCCAAGAAGATGGGAAAATGTGTGAGATGAAGGGATGGGGCTATGCTGGAGGGGGCTCTTTCTAAGGCCCCATCCCCTTCTAGCAGGAATTACGAAATCCCCAACACTTCCTCCCTCTGGGGGATTTGATCCCCCATGGCCACCGATAACAGCATCATTGTGCTGGATGATGATGACGAAGATGAAGCAGCTGTTCAGCCAGGGCCCTCCCACCCACTCCCCAATCCGACCTCACCCCGGTCAGAAGCCCCTGGCTCCTCTCAGTCCCATGGGGCTGGAGGGAACAGTAGTTCGGGCGCCAAGAAATGCTACAAGTTGGAGAATGAGAAGCTGTTTGAAGAGGTGAGCTTTAGGGGAGAGGATTCTTGTACCCCAGGGAGAGGGGTGGCTGATTGGCTCTCCTGTCCTTTCTTCCCCACTAATCCCACCTTGCCTTCTTTCTCTCAACCCCTCCTTCCCTTATCTCTTTCCCCCTTCCTTCTTCCCCTGAACCCTCCAGTTCCTTGAACTGTGTAAGGCGCAGACAGCAGACCACCCTGATGTGGTCCCATTCCTCTATAAACGGCAGCAGCGTGCCCACTCACTGTTTTTGGTGTCAGCGGAGTTCTGCAACATCCTCACCCGGGTCCTGTCTCGGGCCCAGAGCCGGCCAGCCAAGCTCTATGTGTACATTAATGAGCTCTGCACTGTTCTCAAGGCTCACTCAGCCAAGAAAAAGCTGAACCTGGCCCCTGCTGCCACCACCTCTAGTGAATCCTCTGGGAATAACCCTCCTGCAGACCCCTCCTCGGACCCCACGAATGCTGAGACCACTAGCTCTGAGGCCCCAAGGACCCGTGGTTCCCGGCGGCAGATACAGCGCTTGGAGCAGCTGTTGGCATTGTATGTGGCAGAGATTCGGCGGCTGCAGGAAAAGGAACTGGATCTCAAAGAATTGGATGACCCAGACTCCACATACCTGCAGGAGGCAAGGTTAAAGAGAAAGCTGATCCGCCTCTTTGGGAGGCTGTGTGAGCTGAAAGACTGTTCTTCACTGACAGGCCGAGTCATAGAACAGCGCATTCCCTACCGTGGCACCCGCTATCCAGAGGTTAACAGGCGTATTGAGCGGCTCATCAACAAGCCAGGGCCTGATACCTTTCCTGACTATGGAGATGTGCTACGGGCTGTGGAAAAGGCAGCTGTTCGCCACAGCCTTGGCCTCCCCCGACAGCAGCTCCAGCTCATGGCTCAAGATGCCTTCCGAGATGTGGGCATCAGGCTACAGGAGCGACGCCACCTTGATCTCATCTACAACTTTGGCTGTCACCTCACAGATGACTATAGGCCAGGTAGGGATTAGTGAGATGCCCATCAGTAACTCTTACATGTCAGATGTGTGGTAGAGGGGGCATCTCTCTAGTCCCTTCTTCTAGGGTTTGGACTGAGTACTCTGAATTTATATCTTCTCATATAGGCATTGACCCCGCACTGTCAGATCCCACCCTAGCCCGGCGCCTGCGGGAAAACCGGAGTTTGGCTATGAGCCGGCTGGATGAAGTCATCTCCAAATATGCGATGATGCAAGATAAGAGTGAGGAGGGCGAGAGACAAAAGAGAAAAGCCCGGCTCCCCCAAGCCACCTCTTCCCAATCTGCAGACCCCCCCAAAGTCTCCTTGGATTCTGGTGAGGTGTGGAAGGGATATACTCTTCAGAGAAACCCCTTTCTTCCCTTGCACTGGCCAGCAGGGAGTCCAGGGTGACTGATGGGGGAGTTTGCAGAAGGAACACAGAAGTAGACTCTGGGGCAAGAGATTACTTAAAGAAACTCCTTTGTCTCTCAGGGCCCTAGTGGAATGGTATCCCAGGAATGTCTTACCTCCTCCAAGGCTGAGACAGATGACGAAGAAGATGAGGAAAGTGAGGAAGAGGAAGAGGAGGAGGAGGAGGACGAAGAGGAGGCCACAGATTCTGAAGAAGAGGATTTGGAACAGATACAGGAAGGTCAGGAGGATGATGAAGAGGAGGAGGAGGAAGGAGGTATGTCAAGGAAAGTCTCCTCATGTGTTAGTTCCCTCTACTCTATAGGGTATAAGGCACCTGTTTGAGACCCTTCCTTTTCTCCTCATACTCCTAGTGTTTTCTCAGCAGCATTCTTTCCTTAGTTCTCATGCTACCCCTCCCCTCTTTTTACTTTTCCAGGTAAAGATGGACACAAAAGCCCCATGTCCCCACCACAGATCTCCACTGAAAAGAACCTGGAACCTAGCAAAGGGATCAACATGTCTTTGGGGGATCAGCAAAACAAAGGACTCATAACATCACCATCTTCACTGTCAGAAAAGCCCCTGGCCCTTTCCAGTGTAGATGCTGAAAGCAATGGAGAATACCTCGAGGAGTTGCCCCTGGAGAAAGAGAGCCCTGTGTCTCAGGTCTTTGAGCTAGAGATTGAAGCCTTGACTGTGGATAACACCCCGTCTCCTGAGGAAGGGGACACTTCCTCTTCCAGGAAGCAATCAGAGGACCCCCTTACCACTGTCTTGGAAAATGGAGCAGCCATAGTCACCTCTACTTCCTTCAATGGAGGCGTCTCTCCTCACACCTGGGAAGATTCTAGTCCCCCCTGCAAGAAATTTCGAAAGGAGAGGCAAACAGGAGCAGGGCCATTAGGAAACAGGTAACAACAAAGAAGAAGAAGAGGGCAGCAAAGGTGGGAGCATTGCAGGGAGCTTTCTGAGAGGAGTATTGAGGAACTGAGTCTGTTGGGAAAGACTGACACTCCCCCTCCATCCTCAAGCTTTCTACATTTATGTTTCTGTCCCTAGCTATGTGGAAGGACAAAGGGCAGTTCATGAGAAGACTGGGAAGAAGATATGTACCCTGCCCAGCCCACCTTCCCCTTTGGCTTCCATGGCCTCAGTTGCTGATTCCTCAACAAGGGTGGACTCTCCCAGCCATGGCCTGGTGACCAGTTCCCTCTGTAGCCCATCTCCAACCCAGTTGCCCCTAACCCCCCAGTTAAAACCATCCAAGCCTGGTACTTACAAGGTAAGAGGGGGAGGCTGTTTTCCCACACTTCATTCTCTTTCAGTGCCTGTTAATTTTCAGATGCTCTATCTGAACATTGCACTCACCACATCCCCTCCTTTTTCCTACTCTAGTTTTTAATCTGATGAGGCTGTCCCTCTGCTTCTTCTCCCCCTATGTTCCAGACCTCTCTGACTCTTTGTCTCTCACTACCTTGCAGATGAGTGTGGCCACACAGTGCGATCCAGAGGAGATCATCGTGCTCTCAGACTCTGATTAGCTGCCTCTCTACCAGCTGACTCCAAAATGTTTGGGCATAGTATTTGGAGGATGGTGGGAAGCAGATGACCGAGGAAGGGATGGATTGAGCTAATTAATCCCCTTTGGGTGGTGTTTAAAAAAAACAAGTTAAGTTTTACACAAAACATTAATAAACAATAAAGTTCTTATTGTAATCCTGTTTTGTCTTTGTCCTTCTGCTCTCCTGATTTGACACCAGCTGTTATCTGGCCCAGGGTTACCCGGCTCCAGGGTAGACCTTGATGCTCCCTTTCTAGCGTGCCTTTAGCTCTGCTATCCAGTTCTTTGCCCTCAGGCTTTCCCCTTGCCCTTTGCCAGGCAGTAGAAAAAAAAAAAAAAAATGCTTCGCTTTACTTTCCCACTTTGAACGGTGGGAGTAAAAAGGCCAATCAGGAGCAGACTCAAGGTTATTCGGCCAATCCTAGGCCCGGAAAAAGAGGGAGGGGTTTCTGGGCTACTGTCAGAAGCTGGGAGATTTGGGCGATTAGATCCCTCAAACGCGTTGATGGCCACAGCTTCAAGGCCAAGACCTAGCACTAACGGAAGAGGCAGGCTTACAGAATTAAAGGGGAATAAATGCTTCGGCCGAACCAAGTGCTGAGTTCTAAGCGAACAAGAGACCTGGTACCTTTAAGGTGGAATGAAACAACTAATTTTTAAAGGAGAAGTGGTCCAGTCTGCCGAGTATTGCCCAGCGGCACGGGCGGGGTGCCTGACTGTGCCTTTAAAGCCGGAGAAGTAGGAGGTGGAGCACAGGCGGAGGGCGGAGGGAGTCGGCGCAAGATGGCGGCGGGAGGGGCTCAGGCTGCGGCTCTGGTGGCCGAGTGAGGGGCGGGGGGGCCCGGGGGCGCGCGGCCCGGTAAGCGGAGACGCGCGGGGTTGTGGGGCGCCTTCCGGGTGGGAGAGAAGGTCGAAATAGCTCTTGGGGCGGAGCAGAGGGGGGCGGGGGTAGGCAAGGGGCGGGGCCGAAAAGCTACAGAGGCGGGTCTAGAAGAGGGCGGGGCCGAAAGCGGTTTGGGGCGGGTCTTGTTGGGGGGCGAGGCTAGAGTTATGCTGGGGGCAATGGGGCGTGACCGGCGAAAGAGCCGGAGACTGGCGAAAGAGCCCGAGGCATATTGCCTAAAAGGAACTGTAGAGAGGGTGGTTTAAAGTAACAAAGCAGAACCTCCCCCTGCCAAGAAAAGGGTGCAAAACATCAAAAAGATAAATTTTGGAAAATCAGGCTCTCTGGTATATTGGAAATTCCAAGAGGAGGCACCCCATTTCGAAAGAGCACCTATTTCCCTAACCTCCCAAGAAAGAGCACTGAATTTGGAGTCAGGACACCTGAGTTCGCTGGTGCTGCCACTTGCTGGCTGTGACCATCAATAATCTCTATGTCTTTCTTAGCCTCAGTTTCCTCATCTATAAATGGGGTTGAGAGGAACAACAGCATTATGGGAGTTACTGAAATAATGGGTATGAACACGTTTTTAAACTGTAAAGGGCTGTTTCATTATGAAATGTTCTCTTCTCTTTTTTTCTTCCCAGAGACCCCCCCCCCCCAGCCGCCCTCCTTCCCTTGTTTCTGTGGCTGGGGGGGTACTCCCTCCCTCCACACCATGGAACCATCTCCTTTGTCTCCAAGTGGGGCAGCACTTCCCCTGCCTCTGTCGCTGGCCCCGCCCCCACTGCCCCTGCCTGCAGCCGCAGTGGTACACGTGTCCTTCCCTGAGGTAACCAGTGCCCTCCTGGAGTCCCTCAATCAGCAGCGGCTTCAGGGCCAGCTCTGCGACATATCCATCCGGGTGCAGGGCAGGGAGTTCAGGGCTCATCGTGCTGTCCTGGCTGCCTCCTCCCCTTACTTCCACGACCAGGTTCTACTCAAGGGTATGACCTCCATCTCCCTGCCCAGCGTCATGGACCCAGGCGCCTTCGAGACTGTCCTAGCTTCAGCTTACACTGGTCGCCTCAGCATGGCCACTGCTGACATTGTCAACTTCCTCACAGTGGGTTCTGTGCTCCAAATGTGGCACATTGTGGACAAATGCACTGAACTTCTTCGCCAAGGCCGGGCCTCAGCCACCAGCACCACTGCTGCAGCCACCTCTGCCACTGTCCCTGGTGCTGGGGTCCCATCAGGAAGTGGGGGTACTGTGGCCTCTGCCACCATGGGCTCTCTGCGCTCCCATGCCTCTAGTCGGACCAGTGAGAATCAATCACCCAGCAGCAGCAACTATTTCAGTCCCCGAGAGTCCACTGACTTCTCATCTTCCTCCCAAGAGGTGTTTGCAGTTTCTGCAGTGGGCAACAGGGAGCGTCGAGGAAGCGGCCCTATATTCCCAGCCCCTGTGGTTGGCAGTGGGGGGGCTACCTCTGGGAAGCTGCTGCTGGAGGCAGATGAGTTGTGTGATGACAGCAGGGATGGGAGGGGTGCAGTGGTCCCTGGGGCTGGGCTCCGGAGGCCTACCTATGCACCCCCTAGCATCATGCCACAGAAACACTGGATATATGTGAAACGGGGTGGAAACTGCCAAGCACCAGTGCCTCTGGTTCCCCAAGACCAAGATCTGGAAGAGGATGAGGAGGAGGAAGACCTGGTTTTGACCTGTGAGGATGATGAAGACGAAGAGCTAGGGGGTGGCTCTGGGGCTGCAGTGGGGGGAGGACCTGAGGCTACCCTTAGCATAAGTGATGTCCGGACCCTTACTGAGCCTCCGGGAAAAGGAGAGGAGCAGGTCAATTTCTGTGAGTCCTCCAATGACTTTGGCACCTATGAAGGTGGGGGTCCTGGGACAGGGCTTGATGATTCAGGGGGGCCTACTCCTTCCTCCTATACCCCTTCCCACCCACCACAGCCCCTGCTTCCTGTAGATGTGCAGGGCAACCAGGTCCTAGTCTTCCCATCTTCGTCATCCTCCTCCTCACAGGCTCCAGGCCAGCCTCCGGGGAATCAAGCTCAACATGGGGCTGTGACCTTGTCTGGCACATCTACAGGGGGTCTGGGTGTCCCAGCTGGCACTGGAGGGACAGGCAGTGGGGATGGTAATAAGATCTTCCTGTGCCACTGTGGGAAGGCCTTCTCCCACAAGAGCATGCGAGACCGGCATGTGAACATGCACCTCAACCTTCGTCCCTTTGACTGCCCCGTGTGTAACAAAAAGTTCAAGATGAAGCACCACTTGACCGAGCACATGAAGACTCACACAGGCCTCAAGCCCTATGAATGCGGCGTCTGCGCCAAGAAGTTCATGTGGCGAGACAGCTTCATGCGCCACCGTGGACATTGTGAGCGCCGGCACCGCCTAGGTGGTGGTGGGGCTGGACCTGGATCAGGAGGGCCCACAGGGCCAGCTTTCCCACCCAGAAGAGGGTCCCCTGGGGTGGGTGGGGGCAACAGCGAAGAGGTGAGTGGGGCCACGCCTCCGTCCAGCCGTCGAGTCTGGTCCCCCCCACCCAGTGTCCACAAAGTAGAGATTGGCTACAATGGGGGCGGCGGAGGAGCAAACTGAAGGGGCAGGCTACTGGGAGTAATTTTCAGGTAAGAGAAAAATAGCAGGAGCCAGGGGTGCTGCGGCTCATAGGTGATCTCCCACTCCAGGTACTGTCTTCCTTATCTCTATGGACTTGTATATATTATGGAGGGGGAACCACACTGAGCCATCGACCAACCCACTGCAACCCACTGCACTCCTCAGCCTCTGCCCCTCAAAGTTTCCCTATGAGCCCTTTCTTCTCAGATGTGTACAGTGAAGCCCCAGCTCCAGAATAGGGCGCATGTAGTGGGGGAGCGAGAGGACACCTGTTGAGCATCGTGGAGTCACGGGGTCAAGGGCCAAGGGTTGTAGTTTGTATCTGAAGTCTGTGTTTGTGTTGTGGGGGCCAGGCCTTCGAACCCCATCCTTGTCCTAGAACCCACCCCGTCCCCTCCCCCAATGTTGTACCCTAATGTCTACCCCAATCCCTCCTCCCCTTCCTTGGGGTTCCTCAACTCTGTTATTGGGGAAAGAGTGGAGATAGGCAGGTAGGAAGTCGTAGGAATACAAGGGTTTTTTTTATCTTATTTTTTTTAAACAGTGATTAAAATATTTATTGGTCATTTTGCTTGGCTTCCCGACGCCCCCTGTGTGTTTGCTGGGGACCGGGCACGAGCGGGGGGAGGGGGGCTCAGTGAAGGTTCTCGAAGTGGAAGCGGGGTGCGGGGAGGTGGCGGGAGGAGGAGCCGAGGGTAGCGGAGGGCGCCGACCCGCGGCGCCGGGTGGTTCTAGAGGGTGAAGCACGAGGTCTTCAGGACTGGAGCGGACGTTCGGGTGTCCGGACGGCACCGGCGAAGGAAGCGCCCACCTACCACACGCCCTCACCTAATAAGGATGGGGATTTCCTCCGCCTCTCCTGCCAGCCTTTCAAAGGAAGTGAAAGTGAAAGGGGGAAAGAGGAGGCTTCAGGGCTGAGGAGATCACAGCGCCATGAAGCTCCTGTCTCTGCTCCTCGCTGTGGCTTTAGGTGAGCAAACCCCGCGACCCTTCCCCCTGGAACCGAAGTGGGGGAGCGGAGGGAGATGGAACGCACCGAGCGCGCCCCTCGAGGGTGGGAGGAGCTCGGTCGCCTGACGTCTGAGCCGCGTCTTCACTCTCGCCCAGGCTTGGTGACCAGGGTCTCCGCGGGACCGGCAGTGGTAGAGTGCTGGTTTGTGGAGGATGCAGGCGGAGGCCGCCTGGCCAAGAGACCCGCTGCCTTGCTGCTGCGCCGAGGCCCTGGGGAACCGCCTCTCCGGTCGGATCTCGACCCTGAGCTCTACCTCCAAGTGCATGGTGAGTCTTCCCGAACTCGCCCCCGACTGTCAGCCTCCATGGAAACCTTCTGCTTTAGGTTGCGCAGTGACCTCGGACCTCGGTTTCCCCCTCAGTAAAATGAATCTGGATGACTTCAAAATCTTTCCCTAACGGATTGCGTGTGCTCTTGACATTCCCTGGAGTGCCCTCCTGGACGCTGCCCTCCCCATCCCGTTTAACGATGACTCTGCAGCTACAACCCTTCCTGCTCACTTGCAGATCCTGCGGGCGCCCTCCAGGCTGCCTTCAGGCGGTATCCCCGGAGCGCCCCCGCACCTCACTGTGAGATGAGCCGCTACCTCCCTCTCCCTGCCTCAGCGACCTGGGCCAGCGGCCTGAACCCAGAGCAGAGCTGCCCGCGGGCCCTGGACGGGACTTGGCTCATGGTCAGCATGTCTAGCCGGGTCATCAGCCTTTCCAGCCTCCTGCAACTACAGTCGGAATCTCAGAGGGACTCTGCATTCATCACCATGGCAACAGGTAGCTGGAGCTGAAAAGTGGAACTGAATGGGTGGATTCTAAGCATCTAGGTCAGTCGGCGACCTCTGTGTGGACTTGAGCGAGTTCTGTTTTTTTATTTGCAAAGCGAGTGGGTTCAAGTAGAAAAAAACTAACTCACAAAGCGAGTCTTCCAGCCCCAACCAGCTAAAAAACCAGAACCAAAACCAAAACCAAAACCAAAACCAAAAAAACACCCTGAGGTTTAGGAGCGGGGCTTCCAAGTACCGGACTTTGTAAGGCAACACTGTTGGGAGGGTTCAGGGCGGAAAAGTTTTTCTCTTCTTTCAGATCTGTAACTTGCTAGGTACCCCCACCTTTGCGTTTCAGCACTCTAGTGTTTTGACTTTCCTGACAGCCCCTTCCCTGTGGCCCTTGGGGATACCGTGACTCTGGTTACCAAATGGTGTGCTCCAATGGGCGGAAGGGGCACTGCGGGAGACCAGATGGTTCCCATTGCAAGCAATTCCTACTGCTTAAACTCGGTCTGAGACTCCAGGGTGGGCGCTTCACTGGGCAGGGGCTTAGGGATGAAGAAGGTCGGATAAAGCAGAACGGTGTGATCTGACTGGGATATCTAGGAGCTCACCTAGTGAAGGAGGATGTGAGTAGAGCTCTCGGCTTCCCTCATTTTTTTGCGATTCTTTGTAAACAAAGCAGCCTGACTGGCATGGCAGGTCAGCCCCACCCTAGTTATGCACCTTCCCTTCCCCAGTACCTCCTTCCTGCCACCTTCCTCACTGAGAGAATCACCCGCAGAACCCCACACCTGGGCAGGGGCTGGAGCAAACTGCCCTTGAGTACAGTAGCTCTCTCCAGTGTGGAGATGGGGCAAGAATGTCCTTACCTCTCGAGTCTGTTTTTCCAACTGTAAAATGTGGACACTGTCTCCCATCTGCCTTTACGTTGTTGTGCCTATCAAGGGGCACCCTTTGTTAATTTAGCAGTGATTCAGTAAATACTTATTAGCACCGAGAACCCAGTAGTTCTCAGTCCAGGTCCAGGCTGCAAATTGGAATCCTCTTGGAAGGAGGATTGCACTGAGTTGCATTCCAGACAAATTAAGTCGAAATCTCTGGGATGGTCCTCAGCACAGAACTGATACGATGTAGATTCTGCTGTCAAGAAGGTTCTTGGCAGATTTGTCATTAATAATTGAGTAGGAATCACTTGGACCCTGAAAGAAGTGCAGCCAGGGGAAGAATGCCCAGGTCATTGCATCTCACACCCACTGGAGGTAGAAATTAGTTGCTGTATTTCACCTTCCCTTTCAAGCATTTCTGCTTGATTGGAAATTTAAGACAATGAAGTTTGTTGTTTTAATGTAAAATTAAAAATGGAATCTTTTCAGGGCCACAGATCATTGATAATTTTGCTAACATACATTTACACATTATTTCTTATCAAATATAGGATATTTTTATACATTTTTAAATATTTATTTTTAAATATATTATTTATTTATTTATTGAGAGGGAAATGGAGGGGAGAAAGAGAGAAACATCAATGTGTAGTTGCCTCTAGCATGCCCCCTACTGGGGACCTGGCCTGCAACCCAGGCATGTGCCCTGACTGGGAATGGAACCAGTGACCATTTGGTTTGCAGGTCTGCAGTCAATCCACTGAGCTACACCAGCCATGGCAAGATTTTATTTATTTTTAGAGAGAAAAGAAGAGAGGGAGAGAAACATCCATGTGGTTGCACCCCAACTGGGGACCTAGCCCTGAAACCCAGGCATGTGCCCTGACCAGCAATCAAACTGGCGATTTTTCAGCTCGCAGGCTGATGCTCAATCACTGGGCCACACCAGCCAGGGCAAATATAGGAGACTTTTAAATGTTTGTTGACAAATATACTTTATTAGCATACATTGAATGACATTTAATTCTCATTGTTCTTTTAAAAGATTGCTATGGTGATGTTTCTCCCTTCTTTCTCGAAAATCTTTTTTTTTAACTTTTTAATTTAATTTAATTTTAGAGAGGCCAAGGGACAGAGAAAAAGAGGGAGAGGAACATCAATGTGTGGTTGCCTCTCACGAACCCCCTAATCCCTGGGGACTTGGCCTACAACCCAGGCCATGTGCCCTGACTGAGAATCAAACTGGTGACTGTTTGGTTCACATGCCAGCACTCAATCCACTGAGCCACACCAGCCAGGGCTTTCTCTAAAATCACTAAAACATATCTTCCATTGAGGATTTAAACAAAACAAAACATTGTTATGGAAAATCTCAAAGATACACAACAGCAGAAAGAATAGTGTAATGAACTCACATGCCTGTCACCAACCTGTAGCGTTGTTACATTTTACCAGTTGTTTCACCTATCCTCCCACCTTCTTTTCTTTTTTTAAAAAGTGTTTTAAAGAAGATTCCAGGCATTATATTAAATATTTTACTCATAAGTAATTCAGAAAGCATCTTTCTCTCATCAATTTTTCTTCTTTGTTCAATACCTTCACTCCCCAGCTTCCTCCACTACAGCTGTCAGTCTGCTTTCTAGGTATGAACCTGTTTATATTTTTGCGTATTAGTTCATTTTGCTCACTAGGCTCCACATATGAGTGAACTCATTTGGTATTTCTCTTTCTCTGACCAGCGGCTCCTTCACTGAGCATGTTCTGTAGGCCTACCCATGCTGTCACAGAGGTTATGATTGCCTTCATCATACCTAACAAAATAAACAATACAGTTCCTTACTGTCATTTCATTCCTAGCCCATATTAAAAATTTCTTAATTGCCAAAACAATGTTATTTTATAGTTTATTTACTCAAATCAGGATCAAAGACAGGCCCATGTGTTCTATTTTGTTGTATCTGCTCAGGCTTAAATAACTTATTTTCTCACAGTTCTGGAGGCTAGAAGTCTAAGATCAAGTGAGAGATCAAGGTGCTAACAGGGTTGGTGAGAGCTGGCCCTTTGTGGCTGTGTCCTCACAGGACAGAGAGACATCTCTGTGTTTCTCTTCTTGCAGGGACACCAACTCTGTCAGATTAGGGTCTTACATTTTTTTACCTCATTTAACCTTTCTCACCTCATAGCCTCTATCTCCAAATATGGTCACATTTTGAGTTAAAGCCTTCAACATATGAATTTGGGAAGCGGGGAGACCACAGACATTCAGTCCATAACAGTTTTGTTTCTTTAAAAAAAAAAGATTTTATTATCTTTAGAGGGGGAGGGAAGGAGAGAGGGAGAGAAATATCAATGTATGGTTGCCTCTCATGCGTCCCCTGCTGGGAACTGGCCTGCAACCCAGGCATGTGCCCTGACTAGGAATCGAACTGTGATCCTTTGTTCACAGGTCTGTGCTCAATCCACTGAGCTACACCAGCCAGGGCTCACTAGACTCCAGTTTTGTTTCTTAAATCTCTTTTAGTCTATAATTGTGCCCTCCCCCTGCTTTTAAATGCTATTGATTTGTCATTTGTTCTATAGTATTTCCCACATTCTGTATCTGGTCAGTCATTTCCTCACAGTGTCATTTCCCTTGTTCCTTTTTTCTCCATAGTTCCTATAAATTGATAGATCTAGAGGCTTGATTACCTGATTTTCAGAAAGATTTTAATTTTTAAAAGATTTTATTTATTTATTTTCAGAGAAAGAGAGGGAGAGAAACATCAGTGTGTGGTTACCTCTTGCCCACCCTCCACTGGGGCCCACAACCCAGGCATGTGCCCTGACTGGGAATCAAACCAGCAACCCTTGGTTTGCAGGCTGGCACTCAATCCACTAAGCCACACCAGCCAGAGCTTCAGTAATACTTAATAATAGTTGTTACCATTCACTTTTTTTTTTAACAGAAAAGCAAAAACCTATATAATACAGGTTACAAAAACAGATAGAAATTTTCTTACTGTTCTGGCCCTGCTGTACTTACATTTGTATTTTTATAGAGTCCAGTGTGTGGGCTGCAGATCTAAAACTGCGTCAGTAACCTCTACTAAAAGAGCAGTTACCTTGAGGGTTAAACTGTAAAACCTCTAGCTTTTATTAATCCCCTGGATTGTTGTGAACAATTCAAAAGTATGTTTCTGGATTTTGATAGGCTAAGTGACACTGTCTACTTTTGTTTATTCTGTTGAATGAAAACAATCCTATGAGGTTAAGAGAATTTTAACCTGTAGGCCCCAGAAACTAGGATTGAAAATCACATACAGATAATCACGAGAAAAAAATATTAGTTCTACCTGGAGGACCCAAGCATTTCTGGGAGGAAGTAGCAGTGGAACCTTGAGGGACATGGAGTTATAGATGTTTGGGAGAAAATGAGGAGGGACATTGGAAACTGAAGAAATCTTATGACCAAAGTAAAGAAATTCCCAATGATTAGAGTTCTACTACTTGCAAGAAAGGGATTCCATGTGGCTGGTTCTTAGGGTGCAAGAGAAGCCTTGAAAGATAGGGTGGGGGTTGAATTATCAAGTACCCTACAGGCTAGGCTTCACAGGTGATAGTGAACCATCAGAAGGTTTTGTGTGTGTGTGTGCCTGTGTGTGCACCATTTTTCCAAAGAGCCTGTTATTTTTTTTTACTTGATTCTTACAAAAGGTAGGCAAGGATCAGATCATTGAAGTAATGAGGAAAATACAGATTAACTGGTTTTCCCAAGATACCCAGTTCATGGTGATAGTAATGGAAATAGTAACAGCTGACATTTATCAAGCATTTTCTATATGCCAGGTCTTGTTCTAAGCACTTTATAGGCATAACCTCAGTTATTTCTCTTAGTTGCCATAGGAATTACTTATGCTGTCTGCATGTCACAGATAAAGTATGAGATACAGGGCAGTTAGGTAATTTACACACAGCTGTAAAAAGGAGGGGGGGTAGAAATTGAACCTGGGCCATTTAGCTCCAGCCTATGCCTTTAGTTGTTTTCCATGGTAGCTGGGGTTTTTAAACAAGCAAGTGACCAGGTTAGACTTGTAGCCAGCCACAGTGGCTACCATGCAGAGGATGAATCGAAGGAGAGAAAGACAGGATAGAGAGACCAAAGAGGAGGCTATTGTAATTGTCCAAATGTACACTGATGAGAACTTGAGTTAGGAACAGATCTATATAGGAGAAGGAACGAGGGCCTGGTGGGGACGGCCCATAGCATATTATACTTGGCAATTTGCTCATCTGTCTCCCTTATTAAACTGTAAGCAGTTTGAGGGCAGGGACTGCCCATCTTGTATACCAGTGCATCTTCTACCTTGAACATCCTAAGTGCTCAATAAATATTAGTTGAGTGAATAAAAGGAAGGTGTCCTGTGACTCCAAGTATTGATCTTTCATCAAGGCAGGAAAAATGGACATTGGAGCAGGGTGGGGAATATTGCAGATGCTGTTGAGTTGGGGCCTGCTGAGTCTGGCAGTTGGTTACAGGCAATCACAGTAAATACTTTTGTAGACTTACTGTGTTCCAGGCACTCTACTAAGTGCCTCTCATATACAGGTATCTTTGTTATCGGGAATCAAGAACTGAATATAACTGGGTAGCAGGAGTGGTAAAATTATTTAATAATCCTCAATACAACCGCATGAAATAGGTACTATCATCATCACTGTTATCTTTATTTAGGAGATTAGGAAGCAGAGCCATGGAAAAGTGAAGTAACTGGCCCAAGGCCCCATAAATAGCTTCAGAGCTGGGATTAAACAGGGCAGTCAGGTTCCAGGCACGTAATCATCATGGTTGCTTCAGTAGAGCAGAGGTCTATTTTCAGGTCTAGGCCAGAACCAGAACCTTCCAATGTTGGCCAGTACTCTTTATAGCAGCACCATAGGATCAACAGTCATGAATCATCATTGTCTTTACTAGCAAACCAAGAAAGGCCTGGATCTTTTAAGGGTGGTGCTGGAGACTGGACTAATTCAGGCTGTGTCAGAAATGCACTCAGCCGTGGCTGATGTGGCTCAGTGGACTGAGTGCCATCCTGTGAACCTAAAGGTTGCCAGTTTGATTCCCAGTCAGGGCACATGCCTTGGTTGCCAGGTCCCTAGTTGGGGGTGTGCAAGAGGCAACTAATCAATGTATCTCTTGCATGTCCATGTTTTCTCTCCCTCTCTTTCTACGCCTCTTCCCCTCTCACTAAAAAGAAATTTGAAAAGAAAACAAGAAATGCACTCAGGTCCTGCTGTCCCTAGAGCTCAAGAGGACTGTGTTCAGAGCAGCCTGCAAGGGCTATGCTTAATTTTCTGTCCCTATTCACCTCTAAACCACTCTGCTCACCTTCAGCCACACTGGGTCCCACCCAGTCCCAAAGCAAAGGCTATTTGCAGAAATGGCTGGGAGATGGTGAGTCTCACAAAAAGAGGTGTCTTCTGAGGGGTGGGTAAATTGGAGTTCAGTCCACTTTATAACTCCCATTTCTCTGGTTTTTTTCCTCCTTTCTCTCATGCCTGTCCCCCTCCTTTCTCTCCCCATCTTCCCCAGCTGTGCTGACTGTTGTCACCCACACCCCTACCATTCACATCCGACTGGGACAAGATGCTCTGCTGGACTTGAGCTTTGCCTACATGCCCCCCACCCCAGAAACTACTGCATCCCTGGCCACAGGCCCTCCCCCCTTTGGCCTGGAATGGAGACGCCAGCACCTGGGTAAGGGGAACCTGCTCCTGGCTGCAACTCCTGGGCTAGGTGGGCAAATGCCAGCTTCCCGAGATGGGGCAGTTGCATTTGCCACTTGGGACGACAATGAGCCATGGGGTCCCTGGACCGGAAATGGAACCCTCCGGCTGCCTTCAGTGCGGCCCTTCCAGGAGGGCTCTTATCTGGCTACCATACATCTGCCATACCTACAAGGGCAGGTCACCCTGGAGCTTGCTGTGCAGAGTAAGTTGGGGTCCCCCTTGGTAGAGGGTGGGCATTGGGATTATGGGGACACCATGTAGGGGGAGGGGTGGTGAAGAGAATGCAGGGTGAGCAGAGGTAGGTAGGTTGGGGTCCCTGGGAGCCAGAAGTGCAATGGGTGGAGGCTCCCCAAGAATCTAAGGGGCTTTGACTGGAGAAGTCCTGTGATGTACCAGTGGGGAGACAGTAGGTTCCCTGTCCTGGGAGAGAAACACCCCCACCCTTAGTTTTGGGGAAGCCAGAGGGCAAACTGAGGGACTCTGAGGGAGGACAGTGTAGATTGATTCACTCTATCTTCCTTTCCTTCTGTCATCTCAGAGCCCCCCAAAGTGTCCCTGACGCCAGCACCTCTTGTATGGGCTGCCCCTGGGGAGGTACCCCCAGAATTGCTCTGCCTCGTGTCCCACTTCTACCCCCCCGAGGGCCTGGAGGTGGAGTGGGAACTCCGAGGTGGCCCAGAGGACAGCTTTCAGAAGGCCAAGGGACAAAGCTGGCTGTCAGCCCTGCGCCACCACTCAGATGGCTCTGTCAGCCTTTCAGCACACCTGCAGCCACCCCCTGTGACTGTGGCTCAGCATGGGGCCCGCTATGCCTGTCGTGTTCACCATCCCAGCCTGCCTGCTTTGGGGCGAAGTGCTCAAGTCACCCTTGAGGTGGCAGGTAAGAACCAAAGGGACTAAGAAGCGGGTAGAGTGCTGAGAAGGGGGTGGGGTGCTGGGGAAGATATGGGGGAGCTCACTCTTGCCCCTCCCACCAGGTCTCTCTGGACCCTCCCTGGAGGATGGCATAGGCCTCTTCCTTTCTGCCTTTCTGCTCCTAGGACTCGTCAAAGCGCTGGGCTGGGCAGGTGAGTGTGAGCTGACACTGTAAGTCATTTCCTGCTTACTCCCAGAAGCCTCACACCCATCCCTCTGCCTGCCATACCACTCCCGATCCCATCCCTTCTCCATCTCTCCACAGCTGCCTGCCTGCCTGCTTCTAAGGAGTCAGAGGAGAAGGTAATAGCCTCTACCGTAGCCCAATCTTTCCCTTCTCATTTCATCGCCTTCCCCCTACTCTTCACTCGGGGGGGAGATTGCTGGCATGATAGGCAGAACTCTGCCTTGGAATTCACACAGACTTGGGTTAAATCTTGCCACCTTAAACATGCTACTTAACCAACATCTATGTTTACTTGGGTTTTAGGTATTAAAAAAAATAGGCAGTGCTGTCCGATAGAGATACAATGCAGTGCTCTGACGGGTGGCTCAGTGGGTTGGGTGTCATCCCACAAACTGAGAGGTTGGTGGTTCGATTCCTAGGGACACATGCCTGGGTTGCCAGCCAGGCCCTCAGTTGGGGGTGTGCAGGAGGCAGCTGATTGATGTTCCTCTGTCATCACTGTTGCTCTCTCTCTTCCCCTCTCTCTAAAAATAAATGTTAAAAAATACGTAATGCAAGCCACATATGTAAATCGAAATAATCTAATAGTCACATTAAATCGAAATAATCTAATAGTCACATGAAAAGGAGTTGATGTAAAAAGCATCCAAACCAGTAGAGAATTTTTATGAGTTTATTTGAACCAGTACTAACAATTGCCAAGGAGCAAGATCTCAAATGCTCTTCAAAATGAGTTTGCAGCTTCTTTTATGCATTTGAAATTGAGGGTATAAGGAAGATTACACAAAAGTAGGGGAAAGTAAGGTGGGGATCAGATTATAGGATAGTTAACAAGATTATGTGCTTGCTCTCTGGAAGGTGGTTATTATTTCAAAGTTTGCTAACCTAGATGCATGAAAACAAGGGACAGGGTTTGCTTAAAGGCAGAGATAACCTTTTACCAAAGAAGTTATGTGTTGGGGGTGTGACTATCCACCATGACCTGCCCACTTAGAAATTCATGATTAGATCACCCTGTGAATGTGAAGCTACTTTCCATAGGACTTTTTTGTCCAGAAAGTTAAAAAGAAACAGATGAAATTAATTTTAATAATCTACTTTTTCAACATGTAATCAGTATAAGAAGTTCTAGTGTTTGTTTTTGTTCTAAGTCTTCAAAAACGTTTTTGTTTTTTTTAAACCCTCATCCAAGGAAATGTTCATTGATTTTGAGAGAGGAAGGGAGAGAGAAACATCTATTGGTTGCTTCCCGCACGTGCACTGACTGAAATCAAACCACAACCTTCTGGAGCACAGGAGGATGCTCTAAGCAACTGAGCCACATGGCCAGGGCAACAGGTGTTTATTTTAAACTCAGGACATATCAGTTCAGACTAGCCACTTTCAAATGCTCAATAGACATGTGTGGGTAGTGGCTACCTCATTGCACAGCAGAGTCTTCAGAGGGCTTTTGGGAGAGTTAAAGGAGATAGTGCATCTCCTTTGGAAGATGCAGGAGCATAAACATTCGGCACAGTGTCTGCCAGGCAGAGAACAGAAAATGTTAGCTTCATTATTCTCCTACCGTCTGTGCCCATGATGGCTCCTTTAGCTCTGGATCAACCATGAGCACTTCGTCCTAATTTCTAAAACCCTAATTCCTCACCTCGTTTTTATTTCTTTTACAGAAAGCACAGTGACAGTACTCACCATCCTGGGGAAGCCACCATCATCTTTGGCCTGAGCTACTGTGGTAGTTCCTTCCCCCTCAAATATGCCATCACCTGCTCCTGCTCCTTCCAACCTCTTTCCACTGAGCCCCCAGAATGTTTTGTTGTTGTTTTTACAGACACAAATCAATGGCATTCACCTTCGTGAGTTCTAGGGCAGTGGTTCTCAAAATTTTCGGTCTCAGGAATTCTTAAAAATTATCAAGGACTCTTAAGGAGCTTTTGCTTATATGGGTTATAAACTAGAGACATTTATCATACTAAAACTTAAAACAGAAGAGTTTAAAACAATGCACAAGCACATTCCATTAGTTGTTAGGGTGTTAGGGGGATGTATGTAAATATACATCTTGTAGCTACTGGAAAACTCCACAGCACATTTTTGAGATGAGAGTGAAAAAGGCAAATAATATTTTAGTGTAACTATGAAAATCGTTTTAACTTCGCATACTCTGTGAAGTAGTCTCGGACCCCTGAATGTGCTTTAGAGGCCAAATCCATTCTTCTTGCCCTTGGTACATGCATTTTCCGCTGGAGTCGCTGCTAAACTCTTCAACCCCACCCGCTACCCTCCAGTCCTTCTCTCAAGGCTCGTCACACCGAAGGGCTATTCCTTTCCTCCAATGGCCCTGGGTCCAAGAACTTTGCTCTCTCCCCGGTCTACCCTCGCTTTCCCTGGGCTCCACACCAGGCCAGCCTTGCCCCCCCCCCCCCCGCCAGACCCCCGCTGTCCCATTTGTGGGGTTGACCACCTTTGTATTTCAGTCGTTAAAGCTTGTCTCTCCTCCCGGACTCTCTGCTCTTGTAAGGCAGGAACAGATCTGCTCGCTGCGGTATCCCGGACGCTGGACCTGGGTCTGGCGTCCCCGGGAGGCGCTCGGTATAAGATACTGTAGTATTTTCCTTTTCGTTCTAAGTATTCAAAAACGGGTCTTGGGTGAAATAACTACTGGACGAAGAATGATGCGGCTCTACTTGAGGACCTCCGACAGGCAGGGTGGTGGGCCAGACCTATGAGGGAGGGGGTCTAATCGGGTGAAATAAAGTTGTGTTTTGATGCTTCCAAAGGAATGACTTCCATTCACTTCTGGTGTTTTCCAACTACCCCGAAACGCTCGGGTAGGGCGCCACTATTGGCGGACCAGACGCGACGTAGCAGCAATCTTTACTGAAAGAGCGGAGATCCAGGGCGGGAAGCGCCGGAGCGCCGATTCTGGAACCGGATATAGTGGCTTCCTGGTCCGCCCCCTGGCGGGAGGGCGGGCTCAGAGGGCTCTCCGGAAGACCCGGAGTAGATTAGGGCCAAGACACGCGTGGGTGGGCAGTGTAACCCAGCGGGGTGGAGTAACTGGGTTTCACTCGTTTAAAACGCGTCCCGCGGGAGTTTTAATCTAATCGGGGGAGGAGAATGTCAAATTCTGCTCCGGCTCTCCCCCAGGACTGGAGACTAAACTATATACCCATCCAGTGAGGGTGAGGGCGACACGAGTTCCAAGATCCCAGAGCCGGAGGTGGGGCTGGGGGGGGGAGGGGCGCAGAACAGCGGAGCTGGGGACCCGGGCTCCTGGGTCCTGGCCCCTGGACGTCCAGCGCTCCTCTAGTCTGCGGCCCTCACTCCTGTTCTCACTTCCTTCCCTTTTTGGCTCCTGCACTCAGAGCGGACGGACGCAGGGGGGAGCGGAAAGGGCGGGAGGGCCGGGAGCCTGGCGGGGGGAGAACGGAGGGGGGGGTGCGAAAAGCCGGGGAGGGGACTCGGTGAGGACCGGAGACCGACGGAGACAGCGGCCCGGGACCTGCGCTGCCCCCACCCCGCCCGAGCAGGTCAGAGCCAGAGCACCTTGTGACCCTGCCTGTTCCCGTACTCATGACCCCCTCAACCCTAAATGCACCAGGGCCCTCCCATATTGCACCCCAGTGTTGTCCCATCCCTAGCCTCCCAGGAGGACGCCCATCGGGTCACCTAGACACCCATCCGTCTCTTTCCCAGCTCCCCAGCACCCACCAGGCTCCATCGGTCTCCCTCCTGTTTCTCCCTAGGCGCCCAATGGCCCAGTCCCGCTGACTACCCGGCCATGCTCCCGCGGCCCCTGCGGCTGCTTTGGGACACGAGCCCCCCCGGGGGAGTGGTGCTGAGCAGCTTCAGGAGCCGAGACCCCGAAGAGGGTGGGGGCCCAAGTGGCCGGAGCGTGGGCGAGGGGCAGGAGGAAGAGGAGGAGGAGGAGGGAGAAGGCGAGGTGAGATGCGGGTGATGGGAAGTTGGGGGTTATATTTTGGAGACTCCACCTTTCTCTCCGTGTCTGTGTCCCTGAATTTTTTCCTCCCGGCATCATTTATTTCCGCTCCTCATGCTGGTGTCTGCCTGTCCCCCAGCTGCTGGGAGTCCCGGCATTTCTGTGGTTCTCTGTGGCAGTGTGACTGAGGGCCTCACCGCGCTGTTAGTGCCAGGAGCGTCTGGCTGGTTGTCCTGCGGGCCTCCGGCCCTCTACGCCTCTGCTAGTGTGTGCCTGCCTCTCTGGTAGCTGTGTCTCGGTCCCTGTCTCCCTCCTTGTTTTTGTTTGGCGGGGAGGGGTTTGTTTCCACAGTAACCGGCTCTTCTGAGTCTGGGATTGGGGAGGGAACCCTTCGATTTCTTGACCCCTCCCGCCCTCCCTCCTGGCGCTGAGTGCAGGCGGGAAGCCAAGGTTCTTGGATTTTGGAGGGACGATCCCAGGCTGAACTGTAGTGGTCACCTGCTTTCCTCTGGGACTAATAGTGGTGGCCAGGAGCAGAATTTGGAGTTTCAGGGGGGACCAAAAGTTGGATTTGGGACCCCGAGGTCCAGAGACTGGGTGAGGGTAGAATGACTGGCAGGGCTAGTTTTTCAGGATCGGTTGGGGGGGTGGGGGAGGGCCTGGGATCATGTGACTCTCAAGAGTCTACCACACCCCCGGCCCCCGACCATTTCCACTTCCCCTTCTCTTTTCTATACTGGAATAAGAGCCGCCACCTTGTGAGGGGCGGGGGCGGGGCAGGGGTGTTCTCTAGGGATCAGGGGAAGGGACTAAGGGAGAAAGGTTAACTCTTGGGGCTTGGCCAGTTCCTTGGGGAAGGGTGGGGCATGCGGCTGTGCCTGTGACTGAGGTTTCAGCTTCGCTAGGTCTCTGCCACTGGTTTTCTGTCACTCTCCGTTCCCTCTCCCGCTCTTCGCACTCTGCTTCTCTGCTGGGTTAGGGTTCAGCTCTGGGGGGAAGGGGCTACGGTGGTCTCCCGGGTCAGGGTTTCTGCATTCTACCCCCATCCCGCTTCCCTGCCTCACTGCAACCCCCTCAACTCCATCAGGCTCTGAGGCGTTTTGGGTGGGGCTGTCTGGGCCCCAGTGGGGGAGACCTGGGGTCACCAGCCCCCCGGACCCCTCGCACTCGCTGGTACTGTCCCCTGTCGCCACAGGTTAGGGGTACAGAGGACCTGGGGGTGAGGGCTGGGGCAGTGGGAGGTGGTGTGGGCCTGTCTGATCTTCCCTTCCTTACTCCTGCAGGCCCCTGTGTCTGTCTGGGATGAGGAGGAGGATGGGGCCACCTTTACTGTCACAAGCCGCCAGTATCAGCCAATTGATCCCTCGGTGAGATCATAACTTTGGCTTCTGAGCTTTGACCCATTACCTGCAGAATGGCCAACTTTCTGGCCAGAGTGCTGGGGTGGAGGTCTGGGAACCCGGACTCTGCTATGTGACTTTGGTCAAGTCTTTTGCCCTCTCTGAAGATTAATACAATGATCCTGGATTATCTCTGAAGTCTGGGGCAGAGTTGAAGAAAAGGGCAGTGACTGGCCCTCTGTCTCCCCCAGGCCCCGACACCTCCCCCACGTCTGTTCCGAAGGCTTCGAGCTGGCACTCTGGAGGCTCTGGTCAGACACCTGCTGGATGTCCGGACATCAGAGGCTGATGGGGCCTTCACAGCAACCTTCCTGGCCACCCACCGGGCCTTCACCTCCACACCTGCTCTGCTAGGGCTTATGGTTGACAGGTCAGGTTCATAAGGGACCACAGGTCATAGAGGTATCTAGACTTTCTAGAGCCACAATATAGTACAAAAGCAGTTAAAGCCACTGGAGGTTTGGCAGTAATGGACAGACAGAATCACATCCCTTCCTTAGGCTGGAAACCCTTGAATCCCATCCTACTGAAGAACTAGAGAGCACAAAAGGGTGAGTGACCCCTGATTCTTAACCTCAGAGTCCCCTCTGCCCAACCTGTAGCTTGACATCTGACCCCTGGCTGGCTGATCCTCCTCCCAGGGTAGCCATCTCTGTGCTGTCAACCTGGCTGGCCTCTCACCCTGAGGATTTTGGCTCTGAGGTCCAGGGTCAGCTTGACCGGCTTGAGAGCTTCTTGCTTCGGACAGGGTATGCAGCAGGGGAGGGTGTTGTGGGGGGCAGCGCTGACTTCATCTGCAACCTACGGTCCCGGGTGGACCCCCAGACCCCTGACCTTCCTAAGCCCCTGGCCCTACCCGGCGATCCCCCTGCTGACCCCACGGATGTCCTGGTGTTCCTCGCTGACCAGTTGGCCGAACAGCTGACCCTGCTAGATGCGGTGAGACCCTGACCTGTGACCCCCATGTCTCCTGCCCCCTTACTAACCTTCCTCTGACTCCAGGTCCTTTCCTTGCTCCAACCCTCCTCTGTCCCAGCCTCCTCTGTCCACCCAGTTTTGACCTTTCCCTGTTTCCCTTTGGTTGTTAGCCTTCCAATTCTGTGCCCCTCTGGTTCCTTTGCCACTTGAAATACTCATACCCCTAATATTTAGAAGGCTGACTCTCTTGACTATGAACTTTAACCTCTGACCTCTGCTCCACAGGAGCTGTTTCTCAATCTGATTCCCTCTCAGTGCCTGGGGGGCCTGTGGGGTCATAGAGACCGGCCGGGACATTCCCACCTCTGCGCATCTGTGCGAGCTACTGTTGCACAGTTCAACAAGGTGGCAGGGGCAGTGGTCAGCTCTGTTCTGGGGGCTACCTCGACCGGAGAAGAGCCTGGGGACGTGACCATACGGCCACTCCGTCCACCCCAGAGGGCCCGGCTTCTGGAGAAGTGGATCCGAGTGGCAGATGTAAGAGAGAGGATTGGCCCTGTTTGGACACCATGGTGTGGAGAGAGGTCCCACAGCTGTGGCCTTCCTCTGTGACCCCCACAGGAGTGCCGACTACTCCGAAACTTCTCTTCAGTTTATGCTGTGGTGTCGGCCCTGCAATCCAGCCCCATCCACAGGCTTCGGGCAGCCTGGGGGGAAGCAGCCAGGTGGGGAGGACGGGGCACTGGGCCGAGGTGAGGACTGGGAGAGTGGTGCCGAGCCAGGCCCGTCCTCAGACCTTCTGCTCCCTGTCCCCCAGGGACAGCCTCAGGGTCTTCTCCAGTCTCTGCCAGATTTTCTCTGAGGAGGATAATTATTCCCAGAGCCGGGAGCTGCTCCTTCGGGTGAGGCCCTGTTCCCTGGCATTCCTAGCCATCCCCGCCCGCCCTCCCACCCCCCCCCCCCACCCCCATGTCTCCTTCTTCTGTCACCCCCAGGAGGTGAAGGCACAGCCCTCTCTGGAGCCAAACTCCAAGAAGGCCCCAAAGCCTAGCTCCCGGAGTGGGGTGAGTGCCTGGTGGGGGGTTAGTTGTGAAGGAGGAAGGAGTGTGTGGTGGGAACAGTCTGAGGGACAGGAAAGGAGGCACATCGAGGTGAGGACAATTCACTTTGTCCTCTGAGGCAGTGGGATGGAAAAGTACAAGGCTGGAGCCCCTGGGTCAGCGGCAGGGGTATCTGACTCTCTGATCTCTGACCTCAGGGTGTGGTCCCATACCTTGGCACCTTCTTGAAGGACCTGGTGATGCTGGATGCAGCATCCAAGGATGAGCTGAAGGTCAGTGGTGTGTGTGTTCAGAGAGATGATGGCACAAGTGGCCTCAGGGTCAGGCAGACCTTCCAGGAAGGGGCTGCAGGCATCAGCACTGGGGTCTCAGCAGGACTCAAGCCAGAGTGCCAGGGTTCTGGTTCTGTCGGTTTGGCAAGTTGCTTAACCTTCCTGTGCCTTAGTGATCTGTAAATGGGAAACTAGTGACAGTATCTACACCAATCTGCTATGAAAGTTAATTAACTTTTGGTGAGTGCTTAGAACGTATCAGAAATTTAAGCATATATAGAGTTTGTTAAATAAGTGAACACTGAGACTTAAGGAAAGTTCCTAATCCTCTTTGAGCCCTAATTTTTCTCTTCTGTAAACACAGTTTTTACCTGAGATATTCAGTTTAGAGGGTAAGGTAGGCTGCTTAGGTAATGATGGATGGGCAGAAGGAGAGGGTGGAGGTCAGAGGTAGGGGGAATGTGTGTGGTTGGATGTGGAAATGTCTGTGTTTGGGAGGGGGCGTATTCTCTTTCTTTCTGGCAGGGTTGGGACTCTCACCTCACCCCCTTATCCTTGCAGAATGGACACATCAATTTTGACAAGCGGAGGAAGGTAAGGGGAGCGCTCTGGGCTGGGTGCTAGACATCCCTAACTATGTCCCGGGAAAGAGAAGGGGCAGAGGAAAAGTCAGGGTTCTTAAGTTTGGCTCCCATAGTCCGAAAGTCCCTTCCTAGGAGTTTGCTGTTCTCTCTGAGCTGCGGCGGCTCCAGAACGAATGTCGTGGTTATGATCTCCGACCGGACCCCGACATCCAGCAGTGGTTACAGGGGCTCCGGCCACTGACAGAAGCCCAGAGGTGACTGGCTGGGTGAGGTTGGGACTTCAGGGCTTGGGCAGAGTGTGGGGATTGGTGTGTCACATCCTGACCTCTGCCATTGCTCTTCTCCCCAGCCATAGAGTGTCCTGTGAGGTGGAGCCACCTGGTACCAGTGACCCTCCTGCCCCTCGAGTGCTTCGGCCAACACTGGTCATCTCACAGTGGACAGAGTGAGGGAGTCGGAGGTTGGGGGTAGTCTTTTGGGGACTCGCCCTCTTCCTCTGACCCCCCCATCTCCTGCCACTCCAGGGTTCTGGGCTCTGTTGGGGGTCCCACTCACCTTGTCTCCTGGGACCGGTCCAGTGTTGGGGGAGATGAGGTTCCTGGAACGCCTGCTCCTCTGTTGACCCGGCTGGCCCAGGTGAGCTGTTCTCCTGACCTCTGATCTCAGCACTGACCTTGACTCTGAATATTTGTTCTTTGACCTCCCTGCCTTCACACCAGTACCCCATGTTGCTTGTCCCCAGCACATGAAGTGGCCATCTGTGTCATCTCTGGACTCCGCCTTGGAGGGCACTCCATCCCTGCCCAGTCTAGCTGGCTCCAGCCACCTCTCCCCACCAGCATCCTCCCCTAAGCCTTCTCGAGGTCACCGCCGCTCAGCCTCCTGTGGTTCCCCACTTAGTGGGGGTGCAGAAGGGGCCTCCAGGGGGACTGCATCCGGTGGAGGGGGGTCTGGGCCAGGGGCTTCCGATTGTCGAATCATCAGAGTCCAGATGGAGCTGGGGGAAGATGGCAGTGTCTACAAGAGCATCTTGGTGAGGGAGCCATGGGCTGGGAGGTAGGGTGAGGGATGTTGACTTGTGGGGCTATAGATGAGACTAATTTTGACCTTTGGTTTTAGTGGCCAGATTTTATTAGCTGTTGCACCTTGAACTTTTAGTGGCCATATTACACATTCAGACCAACTAGCTGTTTTCCTCACAGGGATGCAGCCCTATCTCACTGGGTACCATGTGGGTTGGCCTGTGGACAGGAAGCCACCACATAGGGTTTCCCTGTTCACTCTAAAGTATTGGACACTCTAAAGTATTTTTTGGTTGGAGATCAGTGTCTGGGTTTGGAAGGATGGGAAGCAAAGGTCATTCTGGCCAATTTATTGCTCTTTTGGTTTCCTGTCCTGCCAGGTGACAAGCCAGGACAAGGCTCCAAGTGTCATCAGTCGTGTCCTTAAGAAAAACAATCGTGATTCTGCAGTGGCTTCAGAATATGAGCTAGTGCAGCTGCTACCAGGGGAGCGAGGTCAGAGGAAGACTGTGGGGGGACAGCAGTGCCCAACAGTGGGAATGCTTCTGTACCTAGGTGGTTGTGGGAGGAACGACTTTCTTTGTGCTTGACACCCCATTTCTGAACCTACAGAGCTGACCATTCCACCCTCGGCCAATGTCTTCTATGCTATGGACAGAGCTTCACATGATTTCCTTCTGCGGCAGCGGCGAAGGCCCTCCACTGCTACACCAGGCCACACCAGTGGCCCCTCTGCCTCAGGAACTCCCCCTAGTGAGGGGGGAGGAGGTTCCTTTCCTAGAATCAAGGCTACAGGGAGGAAGATTGCCCGGGCACTGTTCTAAAGATGAAGCTGTCTTGGTTCACATAACTCCGGGTGACCCTATCAAATGTGGGTAGCCATGCTGGATAGTAGCAGTTACATTGCATTGGAAAGAAACCCTGAAAGGTGGCCAACTATCCTGGGGTGGTGAAGTGCCACTGGTTTATCAGACAGTCAAGAGAGCCTGCCATGTGGGAACTGGTAATCTTAGTAACCAACTTGGATATCCGTGTATAGCTCCCCACTTTCTGGGAATGCAGCACATGGCTAGTGCTAGAAAAAGGGGTCTGATTCCTGGCCATGTCCTAGCATGCCAAGGGCCAAGGAAAAGGCCACAAGTATGGGGGGAGGAAATACCTAGAGGCTCTGAGCTCCAGGGAGAGAGGATGGCAAGAAGTAAGTTCTAGTAGGAATTTGTTTTCCCATTCTGGGGGTTCCTGTCACTGTGACACTAAAATAAACCACAACACTACCTGAATCTACTCCTGCTTTTGCACTGTGTATGGACCAGCTACTGGGAGCGGGAGTGGGGTCTGTCTGAAACTTAGATGCCACGGAACACAAAGAAATGCATTATTTTCCATCCCCATGAAGAACTGAAAGTGAGATGTTGCTGAAAAATGCTTTTCTCAGAATTAAAAAAAAAATTTCATTTTCAGAGAGAGAGAGAAAGAAACACCCATATGTCAGAGAAACATAGACTGTCTCCCTCACGCCCCCAACTGGGGCCCTGACTTGCAACCCAGGCATGTGTCCTGTGAATCAAACCTGTGTGGGAGGACACCCAACCCACTGAGCCCTATCAGTCAGGCTCTTCAGAATGGTTCACTCCTCCCTAGCAACCTCCCTGGTTCCTTTATTTGCTTTTAAACTTTTTGTTAGTTGTCACAGATCTATGTCAAGTACTAGCCACCCAAATAAAGTGATCAGTATAAAGAACTCCCCTGGCTATAAATTTGTAAAGAACAATTTAAGGACAAAGAAATGGAAGAACTTTGTGGACAATGTACAAACACATCACAAAGCATGTGTTAGGATTTCAAGTCAGTCCGAGCTACGTTCATACAAATTCTAGGAAGAGAGAAAAGAACTAAGATGTCAAGGCCATTCGGTGGTAACAAGACATCATAGCAGACGGTCACCACCTTTCATCCTGAGGTCGCAAGTTAGAGAACCGAGTTCTTACACAGATCTTCCCAGCAATTGTTGAATTGTAAATGACCTGATGTTTCCTAAAGGGGAATGCCAACCAACATCAGGCAGAGTTTGGGTTTGATATACAGATAAACAGGTTTGAGACATTTCAGATTTTAGTCTCAAGAAAGGATGGACTGCTGTGTCAGATTTTAGTTTCAAGAATTTGAACCTGAGGTAACAGGTGGTCAAGGGCCAGGGGAAAGGATGGAGACAATTATGACAGAAGTGGCTGGTCAGAAAACAGCCAGGTATTTTCATACTTTATTAGCTACAATAAAGACCCTAGACCTCCTTGGTTTCCCTCCCTCCCCCCAACCACGGGGTCAGGCCTTTCCAGGAGCCCCTGCCTTGGCCGCCTGGGCCCGCTGGAACTCCTGCTGCAGCTGAGCAAGGGTCTCTCTCTGTTGCTCTGACTGCTGCTCAAGGTCCCGGAGCTGGGATTCGTATCTCTTACTGAGGAGAGGGAAAAAAGCAAGTAAGAAATTAATAAGACTTATTGAGGATGTCGAAAGCAGAAAAGAAATTGGAGGATAAAAATAAAGTTAAAAAAAAAGATCAGTGGACAACCTGAGATGTAAGGGAGAGAGGGTGAGAGGTTAATGGTGAAGGAGATGGGGAAGTGGACGACTGGGGTACTCTGGAGAGAGACTCTACAATGGTTTCTCAACACTGTTACTCTGGCGGTGTGAGGCACATCACAGGGTGGTGGGAAAAAGACTCACATTTCAGCTGTGATATAGTCCAGTCTCTTCCCCACTGTGGCCCGAGCCTCCCCCAGGTCCTGTTTGACCAGCACAGGGCCCAGAAGTTTAAAGACCACGTTGGACCCATCTAGCAGGGCCAGTTCCTGATGATGGAGCGAAACACATATGATCAGAATCCTTGCCAGTACAGGCCCTTATCACCCCACAAATCCCAGTCTCACCTCCTTGACGATATTATTTTCTGTTAGTTGTGCTTCAAGCTTCTGCCGCCCTGACATAGATTTACTCAAGTCTAGGGGTAAGGGAGTGTGGGTGAGAGGAAAGACTTGATTAAAGACATCAAATGTGGTACCCGATCCCCACAATCTTAGAAGAAAATGGAGCCGAGGAAGTAGACAAGGATGGAGCGGCGGGTCAGGGAGTAAGGAACAAAATAGGATTTTGGTATGGCTTTGCGTTTGCAGTGAGAAAAGAGATTGGGGAGAGGCTAAAACCACCCTGCTGCCTTACCCTTCTGCAGCTGTTGATATTTCTCCACTTCTCCCTGTAGCTTCTTCTGTATCAGCTCGGCCATGGTGGAGACGAAAATCTGCGGAAGCTGGAAAGGGGCGCTGGGTCTAATGTTCTGGAAGGTACCCGAGCTCCCCTAAAGGTCTAGCCTGCGAAGATGACAGCACTCCAGAGAGGCAGCCTCACTGGCTACCCCTAGCTTCTCCCCGTCCGGATATCCACACGACCTAGGCCGTAGGGGTTGGCGATTGAAACAGGACCCCAAGCCTCTCAACCAAAGCCTTGCTCTACTCACGTTCTGTCTCCAGTGTTCATAAACCCGGAAATAAACAAAGAATGGTGGGAAAAGAGTACGCTGATAGCTCTAATGCATGTCGGGAATTGTAGTTCAAAAGCGTTTAATACGCGGTGTTCTGCGTAAAAAGCAAACGAACAAAACTTTGAAGGTTTAGGCAAGAGGGGGAAACGAAGATGGAAAAAAAGAAAATATATCGTTTCTTGGGGCCTGGTTCCGGATTTGTCTTTATTTGTTATTCGTACGTAAACTGCCTCTCAGGAAGGCGGAGCTGAGACCCAGTGCGGTCTCATTTAAAATGGCGACTAAAGGCGTCACATCTGGTACAGCGCTGATTGGGTGAGGGCTGGAGGACTTCCGGCAGGTCCCAGTCCGACTGTGTACGCGGAGAGGAGTTTGCACGTGTATCGTCTACAGGGTGCGCTACATGGAGATTGCCCCCAAGCCGGGCAAGGATGTGCCTCCTAAGAAAGACAAACTTCGGACCAAGAAGGAGGTAGAGATCTAACTAGGGTGGAAGGGAAGTTTTCAGCTGTGGGGTCGGAGGGGCGGACACGGATGGCGGAACATCAGGGCGCCTTTATCTGCTATAGAAACCGCGGCGATACTGGGAGGAAGAGATCACTCCGACCGCTGCTGGAGCCTCTCCAGGGCCTCTTGGTAACAAGAGGAATCCAGAGCGCCTCTCCCAGAAGCCAAAGAACACTCATACCCCAAAGAGGTCTCGTATCTCGAAGAAACCCCAGTTCCTGAATAAGCCCCGAGAACGGAGGAATTCGAAGCCTCAGCGGAGCTTGTCCGGGGTGAGCATGGGACCTGATAGGGTGGTGGGGCAAGTTCCCTTGTGCTTTGAGAGTGCGAAGGTTGGGGTCAATCCAAGCCCGTCAGCGAATTGCTTACTCGCTGCCCTAGGCACAGGACCCATTCCCAGGCCCCGCCCCGGTCCCTGTGGAGGCGGCTCAGAAGTTCCGTCGTATTGACAAATCCAAAAAGGTGAGGACCAGCTTGAGAGTGGGGTTGCAAGCAGGGAGTGTCTGGATGGTCTAGATGGAGATGGGCCCAGGTGGCTCTTCTGTGGACCCACACGGCCTCTGGTTCTTTTTCTACACCTTCCCACCATCGATGCTATAGCTGCCACATTCTAAGTCCAAAACCCGAAGCCGGCTTGAAGTGGCTGAAGCTGAGGAAGAGGAAGTAAGTGTTAAAGCAGCTCGTTCTGAGCTGCTGCTTGCCGAGGAACCTGGGTGAGTGGCCTTCCCAGTCCCTGCTTTATAGGACTCCACTTTCTCATTTTGTTGTTGATACACTCACTTCATACTAGGAAACGTTACTGCAGCCCCAACACTCACTTGCAGGTTTTTGGAAGGCGAGGATGGGGAAGACACAGCAAAGATAAGCCAGGCTGACATTGTGGAGGCTGTAGACATTGCAAGTGCAGCCAAGGTGAGCTTGAGGATGGGAAGGGGGCCAGGCAAGAAGGAAGTGGGGACTAGAAGAGAGAATTACTGACGTGAGCCAATTATTGTTATTCCTTAATTTTTTTTTTTAAAACTCTCTCCTTTCCCAGCACTTTGACTTGAACTTGTGGCAGTTTGGACCCTACAGGCTGAATTACTCTCAGACTGGGAGGTAAGGTTGAATTCCAGTGAAACTTGAACTGGGATATGGTCATGTCTCCTTAACCACTTCAGCCATACCAGTGTGTGTTTGGGTTGTTGATGTAGGGAGTGTCCTGTGACTTGCTTACATGTGGGGATGAGCACACATAGTGACACTTCTCTCAGGAGAGAAGGGACTGGCTTCGGCAGACTTCAGATGGTCTGAGGATGCTCCCCTTGATTGACACTTTATTTGTTCCCCACCTCCAACAGGCACTTGGCTTTTGGAGGGCGCCGGGGTCATGTGGCTGCCCTCGACTGGGTGACAAAGAGGCTCATGTGCGAGATCAATGTCATGGAGGCGGTGCGGGACATCCGGTCAGTGGCAGTGAGACAGCCCATTCCTCGTTGAATGACGGTTGTGACCCCCTTACCCATTGAGTCACTCCTCCTCTCTTCCCCTCCTCCCAGGTTTCTGCATTCAGAGGCACTGCTTGCTGTCGCTCAGAACCGCTGGCTTCACATCTATGACAACCAGGGAATTGAACTCCACTGCATCCGTCGCTGTGATCGTGTCACTCGGCTTGATTTCCTGCCTTTCCACTTCCTCCTGGCCGCATCTGTGAGTGACCTTGTAGCACAGAGATTGGGTGGCAGTCCCTGAAAAGACCACTCTTCTGGGACCCCAGTAAAGGGAGAACAGGGCACTCAGGACTTATTCTCTCTCTCACAGTCAGAGACAGGGTTTCTAACCTACCTGGATGTGTCAGTGGGGAAGATTGTGGCAGCTCTGAATGCTCGGGCTGGGCGTCTCAATGTCATGACCCAGAACCCTTACAATGCCGTCATCCATCTCGGACATAGCAATGGTTGGTCCCTGGCTGATCTTTGACTCTAACTATCCTATCCTGCTTTTCTTCTATGTTTGTACTTCACGAGTCCTTTAAAGTTGCCCTTTTACCTTTCTCTCTTGACCCCTCTTGGTCTTGAGTCCCTGTCTTTCCATAGTTAGTAACTTTGGTGCTTGTTAATAACTTTAGCTCTTCTCTGACCTCCAGGTACTGTGTCCTTATGGAGTCCAGCCATGAAGGAGCCATTGGCAAAGATTCTCTGTCACCGTGGTGGGGTCCGGGCTGTGGCAGTAGATTCTACAGGCACGTAAGTCAGTTGTTTCGGCATGAGGTGCTGGAGGTCACAGCTGGGCAAAAAGGAGCACAGATTCTGTAGTCAAACTGTCTGGGTTTAAATCCTGGTGCTACCACTGATAAGCCAGCTGAATGTGGGCACATAACCTTTGTGCCACACTTGTCTTAACCTGAGATGATGCATGAGTGTCTAGCCCAAGGGTCAGCAAGCTTTTCCTATAAAGAGCCACGCAGTACATATTTCAGGTTTTGTTGGCCAAGAGGCAAAATCAAGGGTATTATGTAAATACTTAAATAAAAATAGAGAAGACAGTATCACAGATTTTTAAGCAGTGAAATTCAAAACATAATGAATATAATAGTTTTAACATACAGATCTAATAGCGCCCACTAATGGGAAGAATTGGATTTCTCTTTTGAGGATATTTTGCTTAATTGACATTCAAAGTTAATGTTTCAAAACATATTAGGAAAAATAAGTCTGTTAATACGATGAAAAAACCCAGCTAGTGTTCTACTTGATTGCCAGTATTTATCTGTTAATGCTAATATGTAGGGGTTTTACATATTGTATCTTTGAACACATTTCTGACACAAGCAGGTAATGAGATAGGTGGTCTTTGAGGTTCTTGGAGTGCTGTCGGGTTATAGCTGTGTCACTGGAATGCCATCATCAGTGTGAAGTGACCAGATGCCGAACATAGTGTCTGCCTCAACCTGTGCAGTACAAAAGCAGTAAATGGATGTGGTTGTGTTCCAATAAAACTTTGTGTACACAATTTCATATAAGTTCCTAATCTTGAAATATCTTTTAAAAAAAAATATGGAATGCTTCACAAACTTGCATGTCAGCCCTGTATAGGGGCTGTGCTAATCTCTGTGTCCTTCCAGTTTTCAGTACACGTGCTGCCTAAGCGAGCAATCAAAATAGTCTTCTTTTGATTTTTTTCCAACCACTTAAAAATGTAAAAACCCTTCTCTACTTGTGGACATTACAGAAGTAGGTGGTGGGCCAGATTTGTTTGGCCAGTTTGCCAACACCTGGACTTAGCTCGTAAAGATGTTGTAGGTGGCGAGTGAGTTACGGCACTTAAGAGTTTAGCATGGTGCCCAGTGAATAGGGAGCACTGTCCTTCATCATCGTCATCATTAAAGATGATTTTCTCTTCGGGTATGGCTGGTGATGTGAGGGGTGGGTGGTGGGTTTGCTTTGAATTTCTGTAGAGAGTATCTGAATTTCACAGCTGTTCTGATTTGTATGTATGGATGGGTCTGGGGGACAATTTTTTCATACCAATTCTTGTGTGTTTTCCTCTAATTCCTTCCATTCATCAGGCCTTCCCTGGGCACCTGCTGTGGACTGGGCTCTGGGCTAAGGTTCTGGGGTATAAGGATGGATTGGTTCCTGTTCCACTTTCTTTACCAAAACAGGTGGCAGTAGTTTGCAGGAACTATTGGTTGGGGTGGGGCAGGGCTGGGAGGAGCATTTAGTCTCACTTGTCTTTTGTTACCCTAAACACTTGATGTGTTGCGCATCACTGGATCCTACACCCCGCTCCCAGGGTTCTTCCTGGCTCCTTTTCTGCCACATTGTCCTGTCACCCACAGTTTGACTTCTTTGACATCTCTAGCTAGCTACACAGACTCACCATGTTCCTTAGCTGTTAGGAATGTCAGTAATCAAAAGCATTGTTTACCGAGTGCTTTCCGGGTGCCCTGGTTCTGCTATTCGTGACCTCCTGTGCAGTCCTCGATTGCCTGTTCCCTCAAAGGTCCCTCCAAGGTGTGTTTCTCTTCCTCCTTGCTGTCTCTGGGCATGTGTGGTGCTCACAGCTGGGTTCCAGCCTCTAGTTTTCCCTCCTGCCTTGTTCTGCAGGGCCTTGTCAGAATTACCTTTCCCACAGTTGCTTTCCTCCTTTTACACTGCTGTTCTGGATTCTACATTAAATATAAACTACATGACTTTATTTTTAAGTTGTTTTAAAAGAAAAGCCTAGAGTCACCAATTTATGAAAGCCTTCCCGAGGCTCAAACCCCTTAGACTCAAGTTGTGTCTTTGGGGGCAAGTGATTGGCTCCCCCCTTTTGACTCCATGGCTGTTCCTGCTTGGCTTTAGGAGAGTGAAGAGGCCAGCCCTGGCTGGGGCTTCTGGCTGCTGGACCTGAGCTACAGTTTGCCTTCCTGGGGCTGCCTGGGTCAGCTGCTTCTGTTCCCAAGGGGTAATCAGCCAGTTTACTGAGGTTTGGTCAGTACTTCCATGCTAAACTGCTCTGGTCTTTGATCTTAGGTTCAGCCCTGTTTGTCTCTGGTCCTCCTCAGGAGCACTTCAGACAGGCCACAGAGATGAGGCTTACTGTCTTAAGAGGCTTTCTGGTAGCTTGCATTAGGATTAGATTCTCAAAGCTGCACTATTTGTTACAAATTTAGTAGTGTGGTGCATGGGCGCCCATCTGGCCAGTGAGCTTGTATTTGCACAGGGGATCCCAAGGGTTTGTGAGGAGCCAACATGTGCCCTGGGGTTGTTGGTTCACTGCAGGGTGTGACCCTGTGTCCCAGGAGCCCTCACTAATTCCTGGTTTGCACCAATGGCCTTTCCCTTTGGTGGAGTTGGGAAACTGCACCAAACTGGCCTTTTGGATTGTCTTGTCAGAAGTGTCCAGCTGGGCCTGTTTGGCCCCATCACAGAGCACGTCTTTGCTCTCAGGAACTTTGTAGTACCCTCCTCCTGGGTTTACAGCCACAGCTAAAAAGAGGGTTCTTGGCCCTTTGGCAAACATACATCTCCTGGCCTGGCCGGTTCCTTTTCAGCCTCCCTCTCTGAGGAACAACTTGAACATAGGTAGAAACTTCAACCTCCGAAAATAAGTTATACAGGCCCTGATTCCTTGAGAGGCTCTGGTCAGCAACCTTACCCTCCCTCCTTCAGGGATAGAGAGGGGGGGTAGGGCGGTCTAGCACTTGACTGCATTACCTCCCAAGGTTTCCTCGGGTTTATGCAATCTTCAGTTGTAGCTTATTATTGGCAGAGGGTACTGGTGGGGCATTGGGACCTCAGTCTGACTTGAAAGAACCCCTGCCACTTGTTCCCTCCTGATCCTCCTGGCTGTGTTTCCCACCGATCCTGAAAATAAGCCTTTGCCTCCGTCTCACCATCTGAACTCTGACCATTCGGTTGTACCTGCTGTATCTCTGCTTCTTGTGTTCTCTTGAGAATTACTGAGATTGGCTTACAGCCCAGTTTTCCCAGGCAGTCCTCCCTGACCACTGCAGTTGATCCTCCTTGGTCCTTGCCTGTGTTGAGCTGCCCTGCTGCCCATCTGCAGTAGGACATCACATTTAGGTAGACATGGTCATGTGCATTCTCCCTTTGGTTCACATCTTGAGTAGGTTAACGGGCTAAAGAAATAGGCCTGCCTTGAATTCTAGCTCTGCCCCTCACCCTGGTTTCTTTCCTCTGAGCTTCAGTTTCTTCACCTGTGAAAGGAAAATAAAAATAGTACAAGAGTTGTGTAACGCATAAAACTAAGAGGCTGTCTGCAGAGTGTCTGGTGTGATGGTGGTATTTACTGTGTCTTTTTCTCCCCAATCGGACTTGATCCCTAGACTTGGCCACAGGCCTCCTCAGTAACACCTTCGATTAATTGATTCCTCTTCTTCCACCAGGTACATGGCCACCTCTGGCCTGGACCACCAGCTGAAAATCTTTGACTTGCGAGGGACATACCAGCCTCTGAGTGCTCGGACCCTGCCCCAGGGAGCGGGACACCTGGCCTTCTCCCAGTGGGGACTGCTTGCTGCAGGAATGGGTGACGTGGTCAACATATGGGCAGGGCAGGGCAAGGGCAGCCCACCCTCCCTGGAGAAGCCCTACCTCACCCACCGGCTCTCAGGCCACGTGCATGGCCTTCAGTTCTGCCCCTATGAAGATGTGCTGGGGGTGGGGCACACTGGAGGCATCACCAGCATGCTGGTTCCTGGTGAGTGGGCCAGGGGATGGGGCTTAAAGTGAATGCACTCTGGATGGATGTTTGAGTGGGCCTGAGCCAGCCAGGAGCCAAGGGGCTTGGTCAGGCTGGAATGCTGATTTGGGTTCCTATATATGGCTCCATGTTCTCCCCTCCCTCCAGGCGCTGCTGAGCCCAACTTTGATGGCCTGGAGAATAACCCATACAGGAGCCGGAAGCAGCGACAGGAGTGGGAAGTGAAGGCCCTTCTGGAGAAGGTGAGGAAGAGGGGGTGGGAAAAGCTCCTGTGCTGGTGGTGGTGGGGGGGGTCTTCGGAAGAGTGGGATTTAGCAATCTCCCTGGCTTCAGTCCCTCTTTGGGGTCACCCACCTTACCCATTCCTGTCCCTCTGTGACATCTCCAGGTACCTGCAGAGCTCATTTGTCTGGACCCACGAGCCCTGGCAGAGGTTGATGTCATTTCTTTGGAGCAGGAAAAGAAGGAACGAATAGAGAGGCTGGTAAGGAGCAGAGCCCCCAGTACTCAGGCACATCCTCTACGACCATGTCCTCAGAAGTGTGGCACAGCAGGTGGGTGCTGCCACCGTTCCCTGGCTGTGAGGCTGCTACAGACTTCACTCTTGTCCCCTCCCCCAGGGCTACGACCCAGAGTCCAAGGCTCCCTTCCAGCCAAAGCCAAAGAAGAAGGGCCGAAGCTCCACAGCAAATTTGATGAAGAGGAAGAGGAAGGTCATGGAGGAGGAACACAGGGTAAAGCAGCATTTGGGGGGTGGGCCAGGCCTCCCATGGGCCGTACGCCCTGCTTGTTCATGCCTTTGGCCTTGCCGGTCTGCCACTTCTCACTTTGCCTGTCCCCCCATCCCCAGGACAAAGTCCGGCAGAGCCTTAAGCAGCAGTCACTGAAGCAAGAAAAGGTAGCCAAGCCCGTGGGGGCCCGGCCATCTGCCCTGGACAGATTTGTGCGCTGAGCCAGGCTCCAGGGTGGCTCGAGAACAACAGTCTCTGCCCAAGATCACCTGTGGGGGAATGACCCTGTTTCTTGGAATAAGTAGGGGAACAGGTGCCCCTCCTACAGCTGGTTCGTGGGGTGGGTTGGTATTAAAGAGGAAGGTGAGCTTTTTGAATCATGTGTCTGGATTGTTCTGTGGACCTGCCTCTACCTCCACCCCATATCTTGTGGTCACTATGGCCTTAGCTTTGCTTTTTAGTGACCTTTCTCCCAGAGGCGGTCCCCTCTCTCCCATGCCTCTGGAGACCTGCTTCCCATCAGTAGGGCCCAGCGTTCTCCAGGCTCTCCAGGTTTATATGCTGGGGCTCCTGGTGAGGACCACACTGCACTCAAAGAGGTAGAGAGACAAGTTTATTAAGGGGCTTGAGCCCTCTCCTGCTGTGGATGTTTTATTCTCCAGATGATTATATTTGGGGCTGGCAGGATACAGGCCAGGTCCCAGGTTTGCCCCGTATCCCTTAGTCTTCAGTGACAGACTGAGCAACTGGTGTAGGGGAACTGTTCAGTTGTAGCCAGTTGCCTTAGCCTGGGAGAAGGGTTGTGGGGGTGCTGGACTCAGCTCCTCACTCCCATGACCCAGGTACTCAGCTGTGAAGCCAGGCTATTACCCGACACCGCAGAATGCCCAGGACTCCCTGGAGCCAGGAGCAGAAGGGTGCAGTCCTTTCCTCATCAGAGCCGCCCACCAGCTTCCAAGCTTCCTGCATCTTCCATGGGTCCAACCTGTGGGATGTCAGCAGGAATTTCCCATAGCAGCACCGGTCCAGGGGATAGTGGGTGGCACCAGCCAGTCTTACACAGTGGGTTGGGGTGAGGCCTCCTCGTCGAGCACTTATCCCTACAAAGACATCCTCCAGGGGCAGAGGAGGTGACCGGCTGGCCACTTTGAGGATGAGCTGCACAGCAGAAGCTGACAGCACGTATCCTGTGCCCGAGGCATAGGGTGGAAAGGGGCCCCAGGTGGGAGGCCACTGCTCCTCTGATAGCTGGTGCTTGCTCCCTGGTCTCCGAGAGGGATGCACCCGCCAGTGCACACGGCCCAGGTACAAAAGAGGGACGGGCTGACTCCCCAAAGTGGGGCTGTCTCCTTCCCACTTTTCATCTCCAGCCTCAGCCTCTGTGCCCCTCTCCCATTGCTCCCAACGGCCCCCTCGCCGGACCAGCTCCGATACCAGTTCCGGGACGTTGACAAACACATCATCATCGGTCTTGAGGATGTATCGGGCCATGGGGCAGTGTTTGTAGGCCCAGTTCAGCCCGCTGAGGGTCTTGAGCGTAAGGTTGCGGTAGGAGTCCTGGAAGGCTGCCTGTAAGATGTCTCCCCGAGCTGCAGACTCCCGTGCCAGGTCATTCTCATGGGTGCCCCGGGGGGGACGTGGCTCTCCCAGAAGAAAGAGAGTCTGCACCCTGAGCCCTCGGGTCTCGCGCTGCCCGCCCCACGAGGCCCGAATGGCGTTTCTTTGGTTCAGGTTCTCCGGGGCCGTACACACCAGGATGAGCAGGAAGGGAGGGGAGCCGGGGCCATGACAAGCGTCCTCGTTGGGGATCAAGAGGCGGGGCAAAGCCAGGGGTGGTCCTGGCGAAGCTGGTGCTGGGAGCAGGGAGGCTAGCGAGAGGCTCAGCAGCTCCTCCCCGAGGCCTGAAGGACCGAAGAGGGTCCAGACAATCACCAGCAGCAGGGCGGCAAGGAGAAGGCGCCGGAAGAGGCTGAGGCGCATGGTGTGGCGCAGTCAGAGGGAAAGTGGGAGAAAAGATGGAGGGCAGCTAGAAGGCGCAGAGCCCAGCTCTCAGCAGCCTGGGTTTCTAACCGATCACGCCTAGGATGGGGCCAGCAGAGCATGCGGGGAGTACTAGCGCCGGAAGACACACAGGAGACTGCGTGGGAACATACAGCAGGAGCAGTGGGGAAGTTACCTTGTCGCAGCTCCGCCAATCTGAAGCTCGACTCCATGGCGGGCGACATCAGTGTCTTCACCCCGCCCAACCACGGCAGCCCCGCCCCTTTCCCCGGGAAGGTGTGGCGCTGCGCACTCCCAGAATCCCAGCCGGAAGCATTGGCGGAACACTGACCGCCAGGGTAGGAATGTAATTGGAGCATCGTGCCTCACTGTAGAGGGCTTCCTTCCCAACAGCATGTGCATCTCCGGGTGTGGAGCCCATCAATTCTGATTCTACGTCCAAGAAATCTGCACCCCACCCGCAACCTGCCAACATGTATCTCACATCCTTTAGAAACCTAGGGTGGCCCAAACCTGCACTCACCAGAGCTGCAACAGACTACGCTAAACTATCTACCCGCGCCACACCACTCCGCACCGCTCCCAAACCCCAGGAAGAACTGGTTGGGCGTTGACTGCTCCAACTTCCTCATACCTTAAGGGCGGGGGAAGGGAATGAGACCATTGCTTTAACCAAAGCAAAGTACATTGGGCAGCTGGGTGGGAACATCGGCCCAGAGACTTGGGAAAGCGACCAACAGGGTCCTTCAGGAGAGCTGGCATTCTCTATCAGTGTCCCCAGAGGGAAGAAAAATCACAAAGTAAGCCACAGGTGCATAAACTATTTATTAACAGACAAGGCCTAGAGATTTATTTCTTCTTGGACACACCCACAGTGCGACCCCTGCGGCCTGTGGTCTTGGTGTGCTGGCCTCGAACACGAAGACTGCAGGTGAGAAAAAAGAAGGGTCACAGGTCATACACATTAAAGATCGGGGGGAAAAAAGGAGCATGAGAAATCTTTGGGAGCCTGGGGACAGGAGGGGAAAGGAGACCCCCTTGCCCCCACTGACTCACCCCCAGAAGTGGCGCAACCCTCTGTGGGCCCGAATTTTCTTCAGCCTCTCCAGGTCTTCACGAAGCTTGTTGTCCAGACCATTGGCCAGGACCTGGATTTAGAATAGAGCCCGAGGGATGTTTGTTTTACCACCCAGCCCCTATGACCAATTCTATTCTAACTGGATGCCCTGCCTTTTTTGAAGGTCTCATCTCAATACACACCTGGCTGTACTTTCCATCCTTCACATCCTTCTGTCTGTTCAAGAACCAGTCTGGAATCTTGTACTGGCGTGGGTTCTGCATAATGGTGATCACCCGTTCCACCTGGCAGGCAGGCAGGCAGGACATCGGTCAGATCCTGATGGTATGCTTCCAAGGTAGGCCCAACCCACAACCCCCTTCCTTGTCCTCACCTCATCCTCTGTGAGCTCTCCTGCCCTTTTGGTGAGGTCGATGTCTGCTTTCCTCAACACCACATGAGCATATCTTCGCCCTACACCCTGAGGAGGTTTTGGAACTGGGTCTGAGTCTTTTTTTCCTTTATAGCTCCATTATTCAAAAGCACAAAGATAGGGCCTGCAATAACCTAGTGCTTTAAACTTTCCCAGATGACCTGTACCTCACCCACTTTTCCAAATAAGAGGTCTAAGCATTAAGTACAAAGGACAAAAATAGTTTTATTCAAAGAGCTGGGCTGGACCAAGAACAGAGAACTTGGGGTAGATAACCCCTTGAAAGCAGAAACTTTTCATTCAGCACATCTACTTTGTCGATAAAGACTCTGCATGCAGCAGCATTCGGGAGCAGAATCTTCTGATTTCTGCATTGTGGAGGACAAAGAACCTGGCTGTCAAAGCAGATACAACTTCAAAGCAGCAAAAACTAGGGTCTTTTGGTCAACAGGTGATCAAGTGGTAGGACTGTCCGTTGCTTGGAACCTCTAAAGATCGTACGTAATTCTTTGGACAAGTCACTGAAGCCCCATGATCAAAGTTCAAAAAACATTTTTTAATTTATTGATTTTAGAGACAGAGAGTGAGGAAGGGAGAGAGACAGCAATTTGTTGTTCCACTTATTTATACATTCACTGGTTGATTCTTGTATGTGCCTCTACTGGGATAGAACTCACAACCATGGCTCATCAGGATGACGCTCTAACCAGCTAAACTTATCTGGCCCAGGCCCTCATAATTAGTTTTTGAAGATCACAAACTAAATTTTGTCAGTGCCCAGAGATGACTAGGCCCTAGGGAATTTACTGCCCAAATCAAACTTAAAAACAAACAAACAAACAACCCCTCCCCCAAACCCCCCCAACACCTATTCCTTACACTGGTGGCATCATATAAACACCAACTCTGGTACTCATTGCCACCTGAACCGTTAAACCAAGCATCTGGATAGTAAAGGAGGCATTGGGTTAAATCATCCCTACTCTGCTCCCTGCCATGTATTTCCATCCAGAGTCTCAGAATGTGACTTTAGTCAGAATTAACCTTTGCAAATATGGTTAGAATTAGGTTATAATGGATTAGAGACAACCTTAAATCTCATGATGGTGTCCTTACAAAAGGAGGACCCTAAGGCACAAAGGGAGGCCACATGACATCATAACAAAGCCAAGAGGTTGGAGTGATGCAGCTACAAGACAGGGAACATTAAGAACCACCGGTAACCACCAGAGGATAGGAAGAGGCAGTATAGGATTCCTGGCGCCTTCAGAGGGAGCACGGCCCCACTGACACCTTCATTTGGGATGTCTGGCCCCCAGAACTGATAGCTGTTCTAAGTCAACAAGTCTGTGGCAACTTGTTAAAATAGACCAAGGAAATGAAAAGATACAATTTTCCTCTCTAGAAGAAAAGTGACCCAAGGAATCAAATGACCAGGATGGTTAAGAAGAGATTAATGTCTTAAGTTTCTCAAATTAGAGTGCAGACAAAATAGTATTTTTGAGCTTTACTTTAAAAACATGTGTGGGAGCCCTGGCTGGTGTAGCTCAGTGAATTGAGCACGGGCCTGCAAACCAACAACCGCAGTTCGATTCCCAGTCAGGGCACATGCCTGGGTTGCAGGCCAGTTCCCAGCAGGAGACGCACTGAGAGGCAACCACACATTGATATTTCTCTCCCTCTCTCCTTCCCTTCCCCTCTAAAGATAAATAAAGTCTTTAAAAAATAAAATAATGTGTGGACAGAAAAGGGCATGCATGAAACAAGAGTTCTAGTTTTAACGAGATGATACATTTATAGGGGTTATAATTTTCTTCCCTTTACTTTTTAAAAGATATTTTGATTTATTTTTAGAAAGGGACAGAGAAAGAGGAACATCAACTGGTTGCCTTTAGTATGCACTCTGACTGGGGATGGAACCCACAAACCAGACATGTACCCTAACCGGGAATCAAATCAGCAACCTCCTTTGTGGGATGCTGATTTTGTAGCTCAACCAATTGAGCTGCAGCAGCTAGAGACCCTTTATTTTTTTAAAAACTTTACATCGATGTAACCGAGAAACATCTATTGGTTGCCTTCCACACATACCTTGACCAGGAACAGAACCCACAACCCAGGAATGTGCTGACCAGGAATCGAACCGGCAACCTTTCAGTTTGTGGGACGATGCCCAGCCAACAGAGCCACTAGGGTCAGGGCACCTTCCCTTTACTTTTAAATGTTTAAAATCTTCCATAATCAAGTTTTTAAAAGTTGCCACCAAGCTAAGATTTTGAAAGCTGTGAACTGAGTTTAGATAATGGCTTGTCAATTTCCTAAGACCCACAGATGCCCCCATTCCTGCCCCAGCATAGCCCCTGCTTTCTCCATCTGAAAGACTACACTACAGGGGACCGACACTTACCTTTGTAGTCCAAGGGCCTGTACTACATAAGAGAAACACTGATACCAACCCAGTATTACCTACCCTCTGAAAGTATTTATGTGTTACTCAGAGACACTGGCACTGTGGCAGGAGACTTCCTTTTCAATAAGGCCAGTGGGTACTTCCCAGTCGTTGTAATCAAACCCAGTCTCCCTCTCCACGTTTCCAAATAATCCAGATAGCAGTTATCCCTGATTTACAGGAAGATCAGAAGACCAGCCAGCTTTAAAGAATACCGCTAATCAAAGGTCTACAAGTGGGAATACAACAATCAGGAAGGGATTGGGGCATAGAAAAATCTTGCATGATCTTTATTATTTCTCAATACCTTATTCTGCTTGTGTCGACTTCCATTCCATTTTCCACCCCATTTGCTGGCCAACTAACCTTGCTTACCACCTTTCCCCCAAAGATTTTATTTATTTTTAGAAAGAGGGGAAGGGAGGGAAAGAAACATCAATGTGTGGTCGCCTCTCACATGGCCCCCACTGGGGACCTGGCCTACAACCCAGGCATGTGCCCTGACTGGGAATCGAACTAGCAACCCTTCGGTTCATAGCCCACACTTAATCCACTGAGCCACACCAGCCAGAGCCTTACTATTTCTTTAAGCGCATCTTTTGGGGCACTCCTCCCCACACTCAGCCTGCCTTTACCCCATTCTGGATCCTTAATAAAAGGCTACCTTCAAGCTTTAGTTTTCTTACCAGAGGAAGGGTGGCCGCTTTTACTGGCTCTTCACAAAATTAGCAAAAACCTCATAATTATCTATAGGAATAACCTTTCCCAATGATAAGCAGGGCATCAGGATCCCTAAAGACTTGTCAAAATGTTCATTCAGTACCTGGAAGTGCTTTGGTTAAATGGCTTTAAGTTGATTACAAAGTTATGACACAGATTTAACTAAAATAATATAAAACCACCTAATTTTGAATCAAGTTTAACAGAAGCACCCCATTAACCACGTTTACCTTTTACCCTTACCATCTCACTTAAGTCTTGTAACAATGCTTGGAAAAGGTACTACTATATTTTATACCACCTTACTAGTTTCCCAGAAGGAAACAATCCTCTTACATACAAATTAATAACAAATATAAGTTGTGCTTCCTGCAGTGCAGAATTAAAAACCCAGGGAATCTGATGAAGCTTGGATTTAGTTTTGAATTAACTCTATACCTGATAACATGCATTTCCTAATGCCTAATTTCTGGTGCTCACTGCCTGAGCACCAGAAACTGGGGACTGCAAGCAAGACAAAACTATCCATAACAAGAGGGTGTACATACAGCAAAAAAAGGTTAGTCATTCAGCCATCATCATAACTACCTACATACTCAAAAAAAGAAAAAAAAAATTACATACCCCCCCTCTGGAAGTCTACGAGTTCATTAGGTTGGTGACCAAGCGTGTACTCACCAACTTATTTCATGTAATAAGCCAAGTACTTGTACCTGCTTCAACTGTAAAGGGA